TACAATTCTGGACGCAACACTGCACAGCAAACTGTTGCATATTATATATCTTCAGTCAACAATCACGAAATTGTGTGTGACAAGTGAATTAAGTGGCCTGTGTGATCTCCAACTAATCGTTTGACATTGGAGAGATTGCTCCAGCATCTAGGCATTCATCTGTCAGAGAACAACCACTCTTATCTTTCTTAACAATATACCTATGACTTACATTTCTCATTGTGTTGTTATCTTTGTGCATTCATACATATATACAAGTACACACACACACGCACGCACGCACGCACACACACACAAACATAAACATACATACACACACACAAACACACACACAAACACATACACACACACAAACAAACACACACACACACGCACGCACGCACGCACGCACACACACACATACGCACGCACATACACACACGCGCGCGCGCACGCACGCACACGCACCAAGTTCACTGTATTAGAACAATCTCGCCTGTTATCGCTGGAAAATAAAGTTAAAGTGTCTATCATCGTAATCATATATACATTCTATACATGCAAGTACAACAAAGTTGTATCAACATTGAATCTACGGCGCATTTCAACGTTGAAAATGAAAGGTTATATGACGTTGAAATCAGACGCTAATACAACGTTGAAATCAGACGTTGATTCAGTGTTGACGTCAGACATTGCAATCTAATGTTTACAGTTTATACCACCTTGGACATCAATTGGCATGTCATCCAATAGAACGTCTCCTCATTAAGTTTTAAGCAGTCCAAAGACGTATGTGCTGAAATGCCCATGCATATCTGCCTTGTAATGGAAGATAAACTGAATGATATGCTTGAACAAAGTGGAGAATTAGGAGAATATGTTTTACTCAATTTGGTATTTCTGAACTGAATGAACAATTTTCTTTTATCCTCGGGTACTGTTTTGAACTAAAGTTGCGCGTAATAAAAACACATCAGTTCAACAATTACCGCTTATTACTCCTATTTAGGAGCTTAAGTTATTCTAACATCGCGTCGTCTGCTCGAAAACACAGGCCTCTAAGAGCAGAGTAGCCTCTCCTGTAACAAGGTAACAAATCCTTTTGTGTCTGTAAGAGGCAGGACTAAATCAAATTTATTTGTATATAATCACAAACTGTTCCATATGTTAAAAATAGGGATTATATCTGGCCTTGTCTCTTCTCTTCTCTCTGTAATATATCTCTTCTTTTGTTGCCTGGTCTGTCGATGTTTCCTCTATCTCTAGATTACTCTCAATCCAATGTTTCACTTTTAATTTCATATTTCCCTCCTAGAATCGGTCATCAGCAGCCCATGCTTGTCGTAAAAGGCGACTAGGCTTGTCGTAAGAGGCGACAAACGGGATCGGGTGGTCAGGCTCGCTGACTTGATGCATGTCACCATATCCCAATTGCGTGGATCGATGCTCATGATGTCAATCACTGGATTGTCTGGTCCAGACTCGATTATTTACAGACCACAGCCATATAGCTGGTATAGTGCTGATGTGCGGCGTTAAACAACAAACAAAACAAAACAAAAACAACGTGGCAGTATTTTTGGTTACAGGGAGTATTGCTGATTGTTGACGGCAGAAACTGTTAGAGGCGCACATACAATATCGACATTGCCCTTGTGAGTGCTTGTACCTAAAACTCCGGGCATGGTGAGAATGGGGGAAAATGGTGATTCTTCATCAGCGTAAATCTTACAAAGTGCAAAACAGTAGGGGATGATTCTACACCAGCGTTATTTAAATGAAGGAGGGTGTACGACCCGGCTGCTCTGATTGTGTTTGATGGATGGTTTGTTCGTCTTCGTCGATGAGCGAGTTCTCGGTTATATAAGAGAGGTAACTCTTCGTGGAATAATTCTCGTCCACAGAGCGCTTATTCAGTCTCCGTCGAAAACTTCAGTTTATTCTTGTCTCCCCCGGAGTACGTCTTCTTCTTACTTTAAGTTCCCTTCCAGGATATGTGCCATAGCTGAATTTATGTCCCCGTATCCTGCGAATAGTATCATTACTATTTGATCGTGAGTCATGAAGACATGTCATGATATAGTCGCAGTCGTTCAATCGACTCTGCTTTATGCAGAGATTTCTGTTGGAGAGATATGGAAAGGGTTTTGTCGCTTTATATACAACACAGATTATGACACAAATAGTATTGTCAAATGGCACTCAGTGATTCAAACAGTGTTTCTTTAAATACTTCCTTCCAAAAGCGAATACATGAGTACCAATAGCCTGATGCAATACTTTATTTAAATATTTGTTACTACAATTGCATTTGTGAGTGACTTTGTGATGCACATCTTGAAGAAATCTCTTTTTTTTTTGTATAATGTCGTAATCTCGGAACAACGCGTCTATAGCGACAGCGTACTTGGCGATCTGACGTTTTCCTGCAACGCAGCTGTGTGCGCTTCCACGTGTTTACATTCCACCACTGGCATCAGCATTTAGACACTTCATCCTCGTCAGTTTGAAACAGGAGATAAACATATACATACTGTGATTTCAGCGTAGAGCGATATTGCCTGCACATGTACATTTTACCAGCTATAACCCGCAAAATATAGGGCCCATCAACGTATGCTTGCCGTGAGAGGCGACTATATCGATTGGGTGGTCAGGCTCGGGGACTTAGTTGACTGAATGTCAGAGTTTTGTTTGTTTTTTATTTGTTGTTTAACACCGCATTTAGCAATATTCCAGCTATAAATAATTGCGTCTGGACTAGACAATCCAGTGATTGACATCATGAGCATCGGTCCACGCAATTGGGACACGATGACATGAATCAAACCACGACATCCATTTTTGATGGATAATATGAAGCAAACGAGAAATGGTTATTCCATGGTGATATTTTTTATACGGGTAATATAGCCGATATCACATGTATCATGTCAATGAGTATACGCAACAGGTCCTTCTTTAAATGTTTCAATGATTTAGCAATCCTTCCGTCAATGTTTCAATCGCGTAAACATTCCTTCTTTAAACGATTCAGTGATGTTACATTCCTTCTGTCAATGTATGTATGACATCAAGAAGAACAGTTGCACATTCTAGGAGTGACATTGTCATAGCGACTGATTTACGACACCCATGTCTGAAGAACATTTAATTACAAAGGCTCATTACCCTGGAGCCATGACATCTATATGCCTTGAAACACTTCATTGCTGTTATTTATAAGATGCTTATCCTAAATGTTAATCCCCATTTTTGTGTACATCGACCGTCTGCCATCCTGAACGAGATGTGCAAGTATGTCACTGATGAATTACTGTTTACATTTAATTTTATTACTTACTAATGTCAGGTGACCTTGGCTATATAAGCCTTGGTCGAGAAAGATTGAGGAAAAAGAAGAAAGAAAGGTCTTACCCTTAGCCTAGCTAGGGTTAGGCTGGGTGCTCCGGGGCACCTAGACAACAACCACTACCATTATGTGCTGACCTGGCACATAGTGTCTTTTGTATGTATATATCTACATGTATAAAGTAAAACTGTATATACCGCAAGCCATCGTCTCCAAGTTGTCACTTACTACTGAGAACCATACGTCGGCCCCTTGCATATACTAGTATGCAAATTATTCATTAATCAGAGATGAGACCACACACGTTGTTAACATTTTAAGGAAATCTGTTGTGAACCTTCCTAATAATGTCTGTGTCTACTGTCATATATCATAGTCAGCCTATTTTTTCTGCAGAAACAGATTCCACATGGCGTAAAGGGCAATATTGCTTTGGAAGTTATATGAATTGACCAATAACAATCAGTGATGGCACCCGGTGTTCGCGACAAGGTGTTAAGCTATGTGACGGCGGCCTGTAAATAATGGACCGAATCAGCTTAGACTAATGTCCGACACAAACTTGTAAGATTATACTGTATTAGAATACTTTTTTACGAGTATATTGGACTAGAAACCGTGATTACAGTCCAACCTGTATGAATGTACGACCGTTGTTGTTTTTTGTCATGGTGAATATTTATAGATTTGAGTGCAGACTTATCACACAGCAAACACCTGCACCTCTCGATAGCTAGTGAGATTTCGTGTCAGAATAGCCACGAGCACCCATTGCGTGTCAGTAGCCTCAGGAACGGGTGGTTGCTCACTGTGCCATCGGTGTCTTTGGGATTAATGTTCACTCTATCAACCTCTGGTCTGCCTGGATCATCCCTGATTACTTTCAGGCCACCGTTATAGAGCTGAAATATTGCTTTAACGTGAGTCGACATCTATGCATTTAAATCCATTTCGGAGGATTTGTATTCAGCGAGGTGTCAGTGATGAAAGATCCACAATGAAAACATGGCATTTTGATAGTAAACCGTTTATTATAACCGTCGCCTCGGGACTCAGCGCCATTGTTTACAGACTGGTACAACAATAATACGTCAAACCAACATTCATTTATATAGACTTAGTAGCATTTACAAAGGTTTAACTGTATCTACATTTTAGTGCAAATGTTCAAGAAAATCATGTATTTCGACACAAATGGTGTGATGGTAGTTTGGGTTCACTAAAAATAAAACAAATGATATTCATATAGGACTCCATTGCAAGCCAAATCATGCGTTTTAATTCGTCATTACATAACCAGTATGGTTCAAAATGGAGGCTTACACTGAAACGCCCACCACCACCCCACCTTCACTCCAACCATTCGCGCGTGCAGCACGTGGCCTTCCTTCGTCACAATGGAAGTCACTCTCCTCACACGTCAGCATTAGGACACTGTGACCAACACATCTCGAAAACCAACAATTTCTTGAGTTAACATTGTAAATTCTCTGTGCTGCCGATACACAGGCCTATGGGTTTTGTTTGTTTGTTTATTTGTTGTTTAACGCCGCACTCAGAGGTATTCCAGCTATATGACGGCGGTCTGTAAATAATCGAGTCTGGACCGGACAATCCAGTGCTTGACATCATAAGCATCGATCCACACAATTGGGATCGATGACATGCATCAACCAAGTCAGCGAGCCTGACCACCTGGTCCCGTTAGTCGCCTCTTACGACAACTATAGTCGCCTCTTCCGGCAAGCATGGGTTCCTGAAGACCTATTCTACCCCGGATCTTCACGTGGCAGGCCTATGGGAAGTGACTGTTTGACAGGTTCCGCTATATGTTACGTTGAGGGTTACCTCTGGTATGTGAGTCCTATCATGCTGCCTGATAAAAATGAGATCATTTACTTTTCATAAAACAGTTATTTACTTTTTTACATTTATGAAAAATTTAGCTTTGTGTTGTCTTGTGACGAAGAATGAATGAATTATTGATGTTTAGAAAGGTAATACGTGTATCTCCTGTTTTACATAGCGTGGAACTGTGACAAGTAAGAAACTAATTCGGATACACCTAGGAGTTTTACGAAAAAACTTCCATGTATCCTTCGGGGATATCAACTGATCCCTTATTGTTCAAAGTTCTATGATACTACAGATATCATATGATACAAGGAGGTAGTGGAACTGAGACATATCATATGATACAAGGACGTGGAGGAACTTATGTATATCATATGATACAAGGACGTGGAGGAACTTATGTATATCATATGATACAAGGACGTGGATGAACTGATGCATATCATATGATACAAGGAGGTAGAGGGACTGACACAAATCATATGATACAAGGATGTGGGGGACTGAGACGTATCATAGGATACAAGGAAGTAGAGGGACTGAGTCATATGATACAAGGAGGGAGTGGAACTGAGTCATATCATATGATACAAGGAGGTAGAGGGACTGACACAAATCATATGATACAAGGACGTGGAGGAACAGAGACGTATCATATGATACAAGGAAGTAGAGGAACTGAGCTATGTCATATGATACAAGGAAATGGAGGAACTGATGCATATCATATGGTACAAGGAAGTAGAGGAACTGATGTATATCATATGATACAAGACGTGGAGGAACAGAGACGTATCATATGATACAAGGAAGTAGAGGAACTGAGCTATGTCATATGATACAAGGAAATGGAGGAACTGATGCATATCATATGGTACAAGGAAGAAGAGGAACTGATCTATATCATATGAAACAAGACGTGGAGGAACTGATGCATATCATATGATACAAGGAAGTAGAGGGACGGAGCCATATCATATAATACAAGGACGTGGAGGAACAGAGACGTATCATATGATACAAGGAAGTAGAGGGACGGAGACATATCATATGATACAAGGAAGCAGAGGGACGGAGACATATCATATGATACAAGGAAGTGGAGGAACTGAGACATATCATATGATACAAGAAGGGAGTGGAACTAAGTCATATCAGATGATACAAGGACGTGGAGGGACGGAGACGTATCATATGATACAAGGAAGTAGAGGGACGGGGATATATCATATGATACAAGGAAGGTGAGGAACTGTTAAATATCATATGATACAAGGAAGTAGAGGGACGGAGACATATCATATGATACAAGGACGTGGAGGGACTGAGACATATCATATGATACAAGGACGTGGAGGAACTATGTCATATCAGATGATACAAGGAAGTAGAGGAACTGAGCTATGTCATATGATACAAGGAAATGGAGGAACTGATGCATATCATATGGTACAAGGAAGAAGAGGAACTGATCTATATCATATGAAACAAGACGTGGAGGAACTGATGCATATCATATGATACAAGGAAGTAGAGGGACGGAGCCATATCATATAATACAAGGACGTGGAGGAACAGAGACGTATCATATGATACAAGGAAGTAGAGGGACGGAGACATATCATATGATACAAGGAAGCAGAGGGACGGAGACATATCATATGATACAAGGAAGTGGAGGAACTGAGACATATCATATGATACAAGAAGGGAGTGGAACTAAGTCATATCAGATGATACAAGGACGTGGAGGGACTGAGACGTATCATATGATACAAGGAAGTAGAGGGACGGGGACATATCATATGATACAAGGAAGGTGAGGAACTGTTAAATATCATATGATACAAGAAGGGAGTGGAACTGAGTCATATCAGATGATACAAGGACGTGGAGGGACTGAGACATATCATATGATACAAGGAAGTAGAGGAACTGAGACATATCATATGATACAAGGACGTGGAGGAACTAAGTCATATCATATGATACAAGGAAGTAGAGGAACTGAGACATATCATATGATACAAGGAAGTAGAGGGACGGAGACATATCATATGATACAAGGAAGTAGAGGAACTAAGTCATATCATATGATACAAGGACGTGGATGAACTAAGTCATATCATATGATGCAAGGAAGTAGAGGAACTGAGACATATCATGTGATACAAGGACGTGGAGGAACTGACTCATATCATATGATACAAGGAAGTAGAGGAACTGAGACATATCATGTGATACAAGGACGTGGAGGAACTGAGACATATCATATGATACAAGGAAGTAGAGGAACTGAGACATATCATATGATACAAGGAAGTAGAGGGACGGAGACATATCATATGATACAAGGAAGGTGAGGAACTGTTAAATATCATATGATACAAGGAAGTAGAGGAACTGAGTCATATCATATGATACAAGGAAGTAGAGGAACTGAGACATATCATATGATACAAGGAAGTAGAGGGACGGAGACATATCATATGATACAAGGACGTGGAGGGACTGAGACATATCATATGATACAAGAAGGGAGTGGAACTGATGTATATCATATGATACAAGAACGTGGAGGAACTGAGACATGTCATATGATACAAGAAGGGAGTGGAACTAAGTCATATCATGTGATACAAGGAAGTAGAGGGACGGAGCCATATCATATGATACAAGGAAGTAGAGGGACGGAGCCATATCATATGATACAAGGAAGGTGAGGAACTGTTAAATATCATATGATACAAGAAGGGAGTGGAACTGAGTCATATCAGATGATACAAGGACGTGGAGGGACTGAGACATATCATATGATACAAGGAAGTAGAGGGACGGAGCCATATCATATGATACAAGGAAGTAGAGGGACGGAGCCATATCATATGATACAAGGAAGGTGAGGAACTGTTAAATATCATATGATACAAGAAGGGAGTGGAACTGAGTCATATCAGATGATACAAGGACGTGGAGGGACGGAGACGTATCATATGATAAAGGACGTGGAGGGACGGAGTCATATCAGATGATACAAGGAAGTAGAGGGACGGAGACATATCATATGATACAAGGACGTGGAGGGACTGAGAAATATCATATGATACAAGAAGGGAGCGGAACTAAGTCATATCAGATGATACAAGGACGTGGAGGGACTGAGACGTATCATATGATACAAGGAAGTAGAGGGACTGAGACATATCATATGATACAAGGATGTACTACCATACCCCGTGACATTCTACAGTACATAACTACCATACCCCTTGACGTTCTACAGTACATAGCTTCCATACCCCGTGACACTCTACAGTACATAGCTACCATACCCCGTGACACTCTACAGTACACAACTACCATACCCCGTGACACTCTACAGTACACAACTACCATACCCCGTGACACTCTACAGTACACAACTACCATACCCCGTGACGCTCTACAGTACATAGCTACCGTACCCCGTGACGCTCTACAGTACACAACAACCATACCCCGTGACACTCTACAGTACACAACTACCATACCCCGTGACGCTCTACAGTACACAACTACCATACCCCGTGACACTCTACAGTACATAACTACCATACCCCCTGACGCTCTACAGTACATAACTACCATACCCCGTGACGCTCTACAGTACATAGCTACCATACCCCGTGACACTCTACAGTACATAGCTACCATACCCCCTGATGCTCTACAGTACATAACTATCATACCCCGTGACACTCTACAGTACATAACTACCATACCCCCTGATGCTCTACAGTACATAGCTACCATAACCCGTGACATTCTACAGTACACAACTACCATACCCCCTGATGCTCTACAGTACATAACTATCATACCCCGTGACACTCTACAGAACATAACTACCACATCCCGTGCCGCTCTACAGTACCTAACTACCATACATAATTCCCATAACCCATCTCAGTGAACCACTCTGTCAACACGGCGCTGTGGTCCTCCATCCACAACTTCCTGGTGTTGAATGCAGACATGGCTGAACTGACTACAGAAGGCCTGATAGATCTTGTGTTGTTTGCCAGGAGTTCAAGCTGTAAAGAATACATATAGTTATTATGACAATACACTGTTGAATTAGTGAGTTAGTGAGTATTGAATTACTGTGCTTTTAGCAATACGCCAGCACTGTCAAGACTTGTGGGCTTCACACTTTGAACACGGGCGTGTGTGACGAGCTTAGACTTTACAATATACTTAGGGAAAGCTAATGGAACTTCATGCGATGCATTATTTTTTAACTCACTGCTCAAGACAAACGCTGTTAATCTCTTGGCAGCCTAACAATTTTCCTCTGAGTTGAAACAAATCATCGTTCTGGTTCAGGTTGTTTAACTCGAAGGCAAATCACGCTTTTCATAATGGATTATCTTTTTAAAAAACAAGCCAATCAAATTCAGGTTTTGCACCAATGAGTAAGTGATTGAGTTATGTTTTACGCCGCGTTTAGTACTATTTCAGGAAATGGAGGGTGGGGGGCACCAGACATGGGATTTTGACATTTGACCCCTATAAGGAATCGAACCCTGGTCTTCAATGTGACGTGATCCACGAAGCTACCATCTGTCCCTGCGTGTGCACGAGGGATGAGGAGGACACAACCATATTGATCATTTCCACTGGTGCTTCACGGATCCTTAATTATATTTCCCCAATTGCTGGCCTCACACACAAGTATTAATCCACGATCAGACCACACACTTCGACATGAACTCTGACTTAGAAACATAATGTTCACCCGCAACCATATCACACACTTTAGCATTGCAACACAATGTTCACTGCGTGCTACAATGACTAATTATAAGTTGAAATGTCCTTACGATACCGTCTTACCTCTGCTGTAAACGTACTGCTGGTCAGTGTATGGGCGACAACACCTAGGACGTTCCTTACTATTGTCTTCCGGAGCCTGAAACACACGCATCAAATGCTGGATCAGCTACTTAAACGCACAGGTCGATGGGCTGTACAACGAAATAGATATACTTTCCAAGATGTTAACAGTGGTGAGTGAGAGAGTTGGGTTAACGCCGCTTTTAACAGTATTCCAATTATATCGCGGCGTGTCAGCTTAATGTGGGAGGAAAGCCCGAACTAATGCAGGTCTCTGACGTTTACCACTTCGGTGAAACCCACGAGCACGGGTATGGCTGCTGACAAACCTAGAAACATAATTGAGGCGAACCGGGATTCGAACAAACAATCATAGGTTTCTGGCGTGCCCAAGGGACGCAACTCTGCACAGCGAATCGGGGCGCCTTAGACGACTGGGCCACCCGTGCCCCCACCAAGACGTTAACAGCTAATAAGTCCCCAACTACTCATTTTAGGTTGCCAACATATATACTGGTCTGTATATGCTCCGGAGTTACAACCTGAGGGTGACCAAGACATGGGGGATCACAATGATGTATATATAAGCGACTAAAGCCTGTCCATAGTAAATAGAAACCTCTACTAAAGTTGTACGATTCCGACAATATCATGAGGCTATCTAGCATAAACCTTTGATCCAGACAAAAAAAATGCACAATAAACGATTTCATTTATGCGGGTGTTTTGTGATAAGAATGCTCCGTTCTTACATTTTATTTAACGATTGGGACGTCTTCTATGAGCGTACAGTGAAGCTTCCGCCTCGTATAGGCTAATATATTAATGAGGAAGAGCCGGAATAAAAACCCTAGATTTGGGCACTGAAGGGAAGTTTTATACACGGCATTTGCGCCACCATGGGCGACTGCTTCCCCTCCTCCACTTCCAACACGCATGGAAGTCACTCACGAGTGGACGTTTTCCTTCACGTAGTCCCATACGATGTGCACGGCATCCGGGGACCTGGCCAAGGTGGTGAAGATAGTTGCCTGATGGAATGACTTTATCTTCCTAGAGTCACTTGCGACATCAAGAACCCTGTCAAGCATATCATTGTGAGTGAGTGAGTGAGTGAGTGAGTGAGTGAGTGAGTGAGTGAGTGAGTGAGTGAGTGAGTGAGTGAGTGAGTGAGTGGGTGGGTGGGTGGGCGGGTGGGTGGGTGAGTGAGTGAGTGAGTGAGTGAGTGAGTGAGTGTGTGGGTGGGTGGGTGAGTGAGTGAGTGAGTATGGTTTTACGCCGCTTTTAGCAATATTCCAGCAATATCACGGCGTGGGACACCAGAAATGGGCTTCACACATTGTACCCATGTCGGGAATCAAACCCAGGTCTTCGACGTGACGAGCGAAAGCTTAAACCACTAGGCTACCCGACCGACCCAGCATATCATTATGAGTATCTGAACAGGACATAGACTTCTACGTCCTCGAATACCAAGACTATCATACTCACAACACTGAGAAATCTAGGCTAGATTGTGTAGTGAAGTTGAGGACATAATGAATAACGAATAAAGCGACAAAACCCTTTCCATGTCCAATAGATATCTCTGCATGAAGCTGAGTCGATTGTACGATTACGACTATATCAAGAGCATGTGTTTATGAATCAATATCAATTAGTGATGATACCAGGTGTTCGCGAAAAGGTGAGCGTATCCTGCCCCACCGGTGACACTCGTCAAAAACACATGCAAAGCCAAGTCAATTGTTGACCTGAAAAAGACATGGGAACATATGGTACATGTCGAAATTGGGAATTGCATTGCACATCATTTTTGTCTCAAATTTGGAAATGTCCTCCACATGTCTCCCATTTAACTTTTTGAAAGCTTCACTGAGGCCTTACTTGTTGTAACCCTGGTCAAACAACTTCTGAGCACATGGATCAAGAAGTAACACATAAATCAAGGAATAAGCAAACGTAAAATGTCCCTGGTGTATGGAGTGTACCTTCTGATGAGCCATGGCTCTTTGGGACAGGCCAGACCAGTCAGCAGTCGGTGTGCGTATCGGTAGTCAGTGGCGGTGCTGTAGGCCTCGTAAACCGCCTGCCACGCCTCTAACCCCCCTTCCCGTACCCCGTAGCAGTTGACGATGTCCACAATATCCGGGGACGGCCTACAAGTAGCAGTTGATGAATCGTACACAATGATCAACATGGAATGTTTTATGATATGGTAATATTGTCCAAGAAAATTGTGATGTATTTATTCATATCTTTAAACTCTCTATTCTCTTTCTCAGGCTCATTCGTCCATATCTATATCTGAAATTCTTGTGGGATGCTTATCGCGGTTGATCAGGTCACGACCTCTAAGACTCCACACAAGACAATTAACTTTTAAGTCTTAGCTGCAACATTATACTATTGCTGTCACCAACCCCTGGGAAAATAGCCTGAAATGGCCGCTGGCAGCAAGGGCTGGTTTTTCATATGTTTTATCTTATAACTATACTAAACACATGCACCCATGTACACATTCAAACCCTAACACAATTCCAATTAAAAGGATTTTCAATGAACTACAAAAACCAAAAAATCAGCTCTAACAGTATATATATGCACAGTTTAACAATGCGAACTGATAAGGTACGATTTAGTCGCCGTGTTACCTGTACTTGTCCTGGTCGACGGTCCAGCGGTTAAACAGACGTGAGGAATCAGCTAAACAACTCCCGAGGCCCTGCCGACATGCCATGCGTGCGACCCTGGCTCGCTGATAGCTGTTGAAGACATGGACGATAAGTGCAATATTTGAAATGAGTTTGTTGATTTTTGGTTCGACAAATGGACACTAGTTGTCCCGTCCTCTAAGGCGTCGCAGTTCGTGTATACAGTTGCGTACCTTTGTCGTGGAGGATTACGCAGATCGTGGGTTCGGATCCAGGTTGATTGTGATCCTTGATTTGAAGGCACCAAACCGAGTTCGTGGATTTCACCAAGTTGTCGATTTGAACTCCCCATAAATTGACAAATGGTTGTATTTATAACTGAGCTACTGCTCCAAGCGGGCGGTTGAAGATTGGTTGTAAATACTTGGAAGATTCCTTGAATATGCTGTTGGGGATGGAAGGTCGTAGACACCATAACATTTGAATTAATATGTTATTAAAACGAGTGTTGATTCCTGATCAGGAACAAAGACTCACGGACAGCCTGGTTGTCATCGTACATTAGCTCTTAAGTCACAGATTTCAAACCAGAGACCAAAGCGCATCTGTAACGTTCCTTACAAAATTCAAACCAGGTGACACTGTGGGTGAGTGACTCGGGTTCTTATGTCACCGATTTAAAACCAGGTGACACTGTGGGTGAATGACTCGGTTTTTTTAGTCACCGATTTCAAACCAGGTGACACTGTTGGTGAGTGACTCGGGTTCTTAAGTCACTATTTAGGCCCACATCTCAAACTATTCTTTCTTAATAAAAAGAACTAAACATCATTTTATATTATACAATATATCACAAGTGCATGTACTTAACATAGCAATTAACTGGGCAGCACAAGGCTTTTGTTGACTAAAGAAATTACTCTTTAATAATTTATGTGAATACATGTATTTTTATGACATTAGAAACATGTTTTAGAGGCTACTATTTCTGAGGTTGGAATAGGAAAGAATAGGTGATTTGGGTTTAACGAGGCTTTTTACTACAATCACAGCGAATAAGATTCATGTGGGCGGAAAGTCTACGTGACGTAGAACATTGAACATTTGCCATAATGGTGATGCCTATGAGCATTGATCATTGGTAAGGCTAATCTTGGATTCGAACCCACGACCAGCAGTATTTACGTCTCAGGGTGAAGTGTGGTGCCCCGATCCACTGGGCCACCCATGTTAAGTTTGATTTAGTTCGGCATTATTTACGAAACATAAATCATACAATCTTAATGATATGCTTCTCCTTTTTTTTAGAATTGCATGTTAAACTCTACCCAGGCATAACTCACACAACAAGGGGCGTGTCCGAGTCGTCAACCTCCACGCCATAGTCCCTGTAAGCACTCGTCACCAGGTCCAGCACAAATTCCTGAGGATACAGCATCACAATGTATTACAAACTTAACACGACAACCGAAGTGAATGTGCCTGTATAAGATCAATAGAATCCAATTAGTATTTAGTGTGACAAAAATTCATGAACTTGACACGTTAAACACAACTCACACACACACACACACACACACACACACACACACACACACACACACACACACACACACACACACACACACACACACACACACACACACACACACACACACACACACACACACACACACACAAACACACACGCACATAAAGACAATGAAGTAGTTGCGACATCAGAAACACACTTGCCTTGAAAGCCCCATAGAAGCGAGTGTCCATCAGTCGTGAGTCCAGGTCGTCCAGGACGCGGACAGCCGGAGTCCAGGAGACATAGTCGCTGTCATTCCTCAGGAAGCCGAGTGTCCGGAAGGCTATGGAGGCGTTCAGTAGACCAACCCTTTTGGGTATTAGGGATTGACCGATAAAAAATCTTACCGGAATGGGATAGTATAGAGAATATATTTTCACAAACACATTATTTACACTGTTCGTTTGTAAAACTTATCATTCAGCAATATTAAGGCTATTTGGCTGAGAACTGTAAATATTCGAGAACCAGACAATCAAGTGACTGATCAACGATCCACACCGTCGGGATATGACACGCCATCAATCAAGTCACAGAGCCTGACCACCCGACCCATTTGGTCGCCACTTATGACCAGCAGTGTTTGCTGGGGACACATACCTTGATCATAAATAACGAACCACTAAGGGGACTTTTTGGACTGAAAGGAGGTGGCAACCTATCATGTTCTTTTCACAATACATTTCTTCGGGACACTCAGCGTTCGAGCGAACATGCAAACGACCCCTCTCAGTGTCATGATACCGATAGTTTCCATTTTGTCAACGAATAGCTTACCCAGCCATACTAAACGCATCATCGATTATCTGAGCTCTGTTGACAGGCGGGAAAACCTGCAATCAAATACATCTGTAGACATATATTTCAAATGAGTGTCTGGGTAAGTGACATAAATGATTTAAAAAAGTCTGGGGCAACATACATTTTACCATCAAATCCGCAGTAAGTTGTCATGCAAGGTTACTGGAAACTTCCTCATTCAGCCCCTGAATTAAACATGTGTCAGACACAAAGGCAAGTTATATTTTCTTATAATTTGAGAGTTTGAGTGTGATGGGGACATGTTGTGTCGCTAACCCTTGCATTTAACTTGGGCTAAGCAATTGAACTCATCATTCTTCTCCCCGTGGAACCCGGACTGGGGAGGTTAACAAGAACCCAACCTTCGGGGTAGGCACTGTCCCTGTCTTTTTAAAGACTACTTTCGTTCAAGGTTCTACTTACTGTTGGGTTAGTTTCCAACTGTATACCTCATCATACTTTACCCTATACTATCCTGTCTGGTGGAAGTTAACAAGAACCCAACGTCCGATATGTGCACCATGCCTGCATTTAAAAGACTACCTATTTTCAAGTTGTACTCACTGAGTGATTTGTGTCCAGCTGTCTAACTAGGGCTAACCAGTTGGCCTCCTCATAGTTCACCCTGTAGTACCCCGTCTGGTGGAGGTTGACAAGAACCCAGCCTCCGGGCGTGGACGGGTCTTGGATGTTGACGTCTTCCACCTCAGCTGAAACAACGCATCAACAACCCTCGTGAGTAGTTAGAGTTCACTGGGACTGTCCAAATGTACCTACAGAGAACATTGCTACGTATAATCCTGTCTTTTCTGTACATATTTAAATACTCCATAGATGTCATCTTAATGTGGATTAATGGTTCGGATGGTCGGATGGTGTGTGTGTACATCTGACCGCACTTCGTAACGTTATGAGAGGACAGCCTGACTCTAAACAACCGTGACGTCTCATTGACTAGGGTTAGAGTGGATAACGACAGTTAAACTAGCGGACAAACCGATTGATTGCTGCGAAAGGCAATAACACGTCAACAATTCACGTGACAGGCAGTCGGTTTTGTTGGATCACAGAATAACTGAATTGTCTCTAAAAATGAGTAGTATATGTTTATGTGAACAATCTTACTGGAATTCTGTGTTCTGTAGAGCCACGATATGTCCTGAAATGTGTGCTCTTTACTGAAGGACGAAGTGTCAGATGCAGTAGCATAAGTTAGGGGAATATCCCATTTATATCTGCAAAGAAATATTGAAATATATGTAATGATCAACTATATATATATAGTAGGTTAGCTAAGTACTTCGGCGCCATTTTGTCATCTACGCTAACGGTATCTAAGACCCTGACATACACGTTACAAAAAAAAAGAACTCTGAATAAAATCTGAGCAGGTGGAAGGGGGTGTGGTATTTCTTCCTGAGATAAGCATTTAATATGTATTTAAAAGCAAGAATCACACGTCGCAGACAAAACCAATACCGTTTGCAAATCTGTTTTCATTAATTATTATATGTCTGTGCATATGTGTATTTTAACGCGTCCCTGCATTAATGTGTTTACAAAATCACAGTAGCAACATACCCGTATTTGGCTCCATCGTCGCTGACGTCCGCGCTCATGTTGGTTTGGAATAGCTGTTGACTGACTTCGAGGGCCCCTGATCGTGGTATTGTAACCATGACAACCGGATAATGCATTTGTAGTAGCCACGGTTCCAATAAATCTCCAACGTTCACACTAATGTTTTCCTTTGCAGCTTCCTTCAATAGAATGACAGAGTGTGTGTTCAGTGTTCAGTGTTGAACCGAAACAAAATATTCAGGTGGCTCAGTAATAATGGAAAATAAAATCCACGAATCAACATGCAGATGAACCATCATTCATATTACCTGACATCTTGTACTTAAACCGTTATTGAAGTAGCTGATATGATGTATCTTAACCGTTAATCAATAACCTGACACCATGTACATGACCCGTTATTCAATCACCTAACAACAAGTATTTGAACCTTTAATGAATTACCTGACAATAAGTATTTGAACCTTTAATGAATTACCTGACAATAAGTATTTGAACCTTTAATGAATTACCTGACAACAAGTATTTGAACCTTTAATGGATTACCTGACAACAAGTGTTTGAACCTTTAATGAATTACCTGACAATAAGTATTTGAACCTTTAATGAATTACCTGACAATAAGTATTTGAACCTTTAATGAATTACCTGACAATAAGTATTCGGCCCTTCAATGAATTATCTGACAACAAGTATTTGAACCTTTAATTAATTACCTGACAATAAGTATTCGGACCTTCAATGAATTATCTGACAACAAGTATTTGAACCTTTAATAAATTACCTGACAATAAGTATTTGAACCTTTAATGAATTACCTGACAACCGTTATTCAATTACCTGACAATAAGTATTCGAACCGTTAATCATGTGCATGTACCTGACAACACGTATTTGAACCGTTAATCAACTATCTGACAAGTATTTTAACAGTTAATCAAGAACCTGAAAACATGTAATTGAAATGTTAATAAATTATCTGAGAACATATAGTTGAACCGTTAAACAATGACCCGACAACATGTATTTTCGACCCGTCATTGAAGTATCTGACAACATTAATTTGAACCGTTAATCAATTAGCTCACGACAAGTACTTAAACCGTAAATAAAATTACATTATAACATGTTTTTGAACTGTTAATGAATTACCTGACGACATTACTTAATTATCTGATCATATGTATTTGAACAAGCATTTAACTTCTTGACATGTATTTGAATCTGACCTGGCAATGGGCATCAGTTATTAAAGTACACAATTACCCGATTTTGACCAGGTATTTTTTACCAGTATTGAAGACAGAAACATACCTGAGCATATCTGTCGCTGTACGTGTCTGACAACCCCGGAATATTCGAGTTAGAATATGTCTTCAGCAACCCAGCCGACTATGCTTGTCGAAAGAGGCGACTAACGGGATTGGGTGGTCAGGCTCGCTGACTTGGTTGATGCATGTCATCGTATCCCAATTAGGTGGATCGATGCTCAGGATGTCAACAACTGGAGTGTCTGGTTCAGAGTCGATTATTTACAGACCACCGTCATATGGCTTGAATATTGCTGAGTGCGGCGTTAACAACAAACAAACAAAACAAAAAAACGTGCCTGACAGTCTTAACCGACGAATGCTGGGCCCACTACTGGTATATAACAAACTAAAACAGCACAATGTGAATATTAATAAAGATATATCATTATGTGAGTCATGCTAACAATGTTTTCAATTTAATTATGATTATGTATATAAGGAAGTGTAATACATGTAATCACTACCTCATTGAAGACTGTCCACAAGTCGGAATTTTCCACTGATCCGTACTGATGCTTGAATAAGTACTCCTGGAAGCATACAGCACACATGTGATATATAAAGTACTCCTGGAAGCATTCAGCACACATGTGATATATAAAGTACTCCTGGAAGCATACAGCACACATGTGATATATAAAGTACTCATGGAAGCATACAGCACACATGTGATATATAAAGTACTCCTGGAAGCATACAGCACACATGTGATATATAAAGTACTCCTGGAAGCATACAGCACACATGTGATATATAAAGTACTCCTGGAAGCATACAGCACACATGTGATATATAAAGTATATGAAATGCATCTGAAAAGGCCAAACGTAAGTGAGTGAGTGAGTGAGTTGGGTTTAACGCCGCTTCAAACAGTATTCCAGTTATATCACGGCGTGTCAGCTTAATGTGTGAGGAAAGCCCGGAGTGATGCAGGTCTCGGACGTTTACCACTTCGGTGAAACCCACGAGCACGGGTATGGTGCTGACAGACTCAGAAACATAATCGGGGCGCACCGGCAGCTGTTAATGGTAAAGACAGACCAATCAGGTAACAGCAAGGTGATCAAACATACATCGAATCGGAATAGTTGTGTAATATTGTTATCATATCTACAAACATGAAACAACATTTACGTTTCTTTGAGACCAGCGCCTCACCTTATTATTATTATTTAGATATATGCATAAAGATTCATAGTGACAAAACACTCTCCACAAGACTGTATAACAAGAGGGATGACTTCAACTTTCCAATTGTCAACTTTCCCTTCATGTCGAGCAATATTCCACCAGCTCCAGCCTTTGGTGTTTACATTTCACAACTTTTGAGATACAATAGTCCTTGCTCTTTGTACCAAGATTCCTTGCTTGTCATGCTTGTCGTAAGAGCCAACTGACGGGATCGGGTTGTTAGGCTAGCTGACTTGGTTGAAGCACGTCATCGATCCCAAATTGCTGGATTGTCTGGTCCAGACTCGATTATTTACAGACCGAGGTGTATTTTAAAGAGTGCGGCGTAAAACAACAAACACATGCTTATGACATACAATCGACTGTACTTTATGCAATGATTACTATTGGATATGGAAAGGGTTTCGTCGCTTTATTTGCTGCCTTTTCATTCCTTGTCGTGGGCACGGGTGGCCCAGTCGTCTAAGGCGCCGCGATTCGCTGTGCAGAGTTGCGGCCCTTGGGCACGCCAGAAACCTATGATCCTGGGTTCGAATCCCGGTTCGCCCTGATTATGTTTCTAGGTTTATCAGTACCATACCCGTGCTCGTGGGTTTCACCGAAGTGGTAAACGTTTGAGACCTGCATCACTTCGGGCTTTCCTCCCACAATAAGCTGACACGCGTGATATAACTGGAATACTGTTAAAAGCGGCGTTACATCCAACTCACTCACTCACTCATTCCTTGTAGTTCTTTGTTCTGTGGCGTCTCATCAATGTGAGCCCTGGTTGCTGTATGCTCTACCAGAAATGTTCACGTGTTCACGTTCCGCTCGCCGACCAGCCTCTGTACTTACAGTTCAGGATTTCTACTTAATGCGGAGGTCACACCTGCTTGAATGTATAACATCAGTGCAGATAGCGACGTGAAGATTATGCTGACACAGCAATCTTAGCTTTTCATTACAAAAGCTAATTGGTGAGAGTTTGTGAGACGTTGTTGCCGATGTATCACAGATAAAAAATCTAGCGGGACACATGTGATAACCTTTACAAGCACGCCAAATGTTACCGACAAACGGAATAAAAATTACGAGTATTTCCGGTGTATTAATTAGAGTCATATTAACAGGTTGTGTAATGGATTTGTTTACTTGTTATAGATAACTATTATTTTGCCCTTAGAAAATGGTAAAATCCAACATACTACTGATTGGTGGGGGCGGTCGGGTAGCCTAGTGGTTAAAGCGTTCGTTCGTCACGCCGAAGATCCAGGTTCGAATCTCGACATGGGTACAATATGTGAAGCCCATTTCAGGTGTCCCCCGCCGTGATATTGTTAAAATATAGCTAAAGGGGCGTAAAAACCATACTCACTCAGTGATTTGTACCCCTTTTAATTCTTGACCAAAATTGAAAACTGAAGGAATAACCCACAACATAAAAAGAATATGACGTTCATCACATGAATGTATACTGAACCGCAAAAGAAACGTCACCATGGATAGACATTTGAGAAAACTTTTTTGTCCACTGTAAACATACTTTGAGATACATTTAAAAGATAAAAACTTGGCAAAAACTGATAATCAAGGTTGAAAATAAAGTGTCAAATGTTCTTAAGGTGAAACACAACACTAGTCTCTGTGAAAATGCCATCACAAGTCAGTATCTCGTGTGTCCGCCATGTGCGTTGATGACTCCCGTGCAAGGTCGATACATGGATGGATGAAGCGGTTGGTGAAGGCCATCGGCACTTGAGCTCACAATCTGAGGAACGCCTGACGCAGTTCAGCTGCAGTTGTCGGCCTTGGTCGGACGTCACTCAGCCGTCTTTGAATCTTGTCCCACAGGTGCTCAATGGGATTTAAATCGGGACTGAGGGCTGGCCACTGCATGGTTCTGATGTCATTCTGCTGGAGGAAGTCTCTTGTTACTATCGCAGTGTGAGCACGGGCGTTATCATGCTGAAACTCGTGGTTGCGGCGACGTGCGAAATGAGGTATGGCGTGTGGTCTCAAGACTTGATCAATGCACCGACCTGCTGTGACACCATTGCCTCTCCCTGGACCGTTGTTCTGGAAGACCACAGGGCCGACCCTCTGTGCAAGACCAATTCCACCCCACACCATGATGCTCGGACCACCCCACTCTCTCTCAACAACACAAGCATCCGCATAACGTTCCCCACGGCGTTGCCAGACTCTCTCTCTCTCTCTCTCTCTCTCTCTCTCTCTCTCTGTGTTATCTGCAGTTGAGATACAGTAACGGCTCTTGTCTAAGGAGAGGACTGAGGACTCCTGGTGGCGCCAATGCCGGTGCTTTGTGTTGCCCACCGAAGACGGTCCCGCTGATGACGTGGTGTCAGAATGGTTCCTCGGTGTGGCCTGTAGCAGTGGAGGTGTCTGCTCGTCAATCGTCGACGGACGGTATCCGCACTAATGTGTCGCTGGTGTGTCCCCATGGTCTGTCGAGCAGTTTCCGCAGCAGTAACAAAACGAACTTGAAGATGCTGTCGCACAATCTGACGATCCTGACTTTGGGTGGTGACCCTTGGTCTTCCACTACTTGGTCGGTCATCTGCAGTGTTGGTGGTCTGGTACCGTTGCTGGAGCCTGTATATGGTCCTTACGCGGACTTGAAATGTATTGGCTACTTGTCGGGCGGTTTGTCCAGCTTGCAATCGTCCAAGGTCTTTGTGTCGCTGATTTCTTGTAAATCTTGGCATGTGGTAGCAATTCAATAACGTATGAATGTTATCCGATCTGGGTCGATTTTCATAGGACAAGAAAGGTGGGAATACATGTGCATTTCAATTTGCACGGAACTCACGTGCATCGGGTTACCATGGCCGTTGCCATGATGCGTTTGGGCGATAGGTTATATTGCAATCTGCTTTGTTTTTTATCATAAAATTTCTTTTTTCTGGACAAGGTAATGTTAAATTTGAGAAACTTTGACAAAAATTATCGACATATTTACATGACAACTTTTCATGCAATGTTATTAGGGGTGACGTTTCTTTTGGGGCTCAGTATATATAGCTTTCACAGGTGTACATCCCGCCTTACAGCTTGTACTTGCATTAATTGCTTTCAGGAACAGTTCCTCTCCGAAGATCAGACGCAGCATCCGTACGACACTGGCTCCCTGTCGACACAAATGTTTAAATATCAAGCCATGCATACACAACACTAGCTTCCTGTCAATACAAACCACATATTTGTATATCTAGCCATGCTTACACAAGACTAGCTTCCTGTCAATATGAACCACATATTTGTATATCTATCCATGCATACAGTGCACTAGCTTCCTGTCAACACAAGCCACATGTTTGTATATCTAGCCATGCATACACAACACTAGTTCCCTGTCAATATAAACCACATATTTGTATATCTAGCCATGCATACACAACACTAGTTCCCTGTCAATACAAACCACATATTTGTATATCTAGCCATGCTTACACAAGACTAGCTTCCTGTCAATACAAACCACATATTTGTATATCTATCCATGCATACAGTGCACTAGCTTCCTGTCAACACAAGCCACATGTTTGTATATCTAGCCATGCATACACAACACTAGTTCCCTGTCAATATAAACCACATATTTGTATATCTCGCCATGCATACATAACACTAGCTCCCTGTCAATATGAACCACATGTTTGTATATCTCGCCATGCATACAGTACACTAGTTCACTGTCAATATAAACCATATATTTGTATATCTAGCCATACATACAGTACACTTGCTCCCTGTCAATATGAACCACATGTTTGTATATCTAGCCATGCTTACAGTACACTAGCTCCCTGTCAATGTAAACCACATGTTTGTATATATACCCATACATACAGTACACTAGTTCACTGTCAATATAAACCATATGTTTGTATATCTAGCCATACATGCAGTGCACTAGCTTCCTGTCAATATGAACCACATGTTTGTATATCTAGCCATGCATACAGTACACTAGCTTCCTGTCAACACAAGCCACATGTTTGTATATCTAGCCATACATACAGTACAATAGCTCCCTGTCAATATGAACTACATGTTTGTATATCTAGCCATACATACATTACAATAGCTCCCTGTCAATATAAACCCTTTGTTTATATATCTAGCCATGCATACAGTACAATAGCTCCCTGTCAATATGAACCACATGTTTGTATATCTAGCCATGCATACAGTACACAAGCTTCCTGTCAATATGAACCACATGTTTGTATATCTAGCCATACATACAGTACAATAGCTCCCTGTCAATATAAACCCTTTGTTTAAATATCTAGCCATGCATACAGTACAATAGCTCCCTGTCAATATGAACCACATGTTTGTATATCTAGCCATGCATACAGTACACTAGCTCCCTGTCAATATAAACCACATATTTGTATATCTAGCCATGCATACAGTGCGCTATCTTCCTGTCAATATAAACTACATATTTGTATATCTAGCCATGCATACAGTGCGCTAGCTCCCTGTCAATACAAACCACATGTTTGTATATCTAGCCATCCATACAGTACACTAGTTCACTGTCAATATGAACCACATGTTTGTGTATCTAGCCATGCATACAGTACAATAGCTCCCTGTCAATATAAACCCTTTGTTTATATATCTAGCCATGCATACAGTACACTAGCTCCCTGTCAATATAAACCACATGTTTGTATATCTCGCCATACATACAGTACACTAGTTCCCTGTCAACACAAGCCACATGTTTGTGTATCTAGCCATGCATACAGTACACTAGCTCCCTGTCAATATAAACCCTTAGTTTATATATCTAGCCATGCATACAGTACAATAGCTCCCTGTCAATATGAACCACATGTTTGTATATCTAGCCATACATACAGTACACTAGCTCCCTGTCAATATAAACCACATGTTTGTATATCTAGCCACACATACAGTACACTAGCTCCCTGTCAATATAAACCACATGTTTTTATATCTAGCCATGCATACAGTACACTAGCTCCCTGTCAATATAAACCCTTAGTTTCTATATCTAGCCATGCACACAGTACAATAGCTCCCTGTCAATATGAACCACATGTCTGTATATCTAGCCATACATGCAGTACACTAGCTCCCTGTCAATATAAACCACATGTTTGTATATCTAGCCATACATGCAGTACACTAGCTTCCTGTCAATATGAACCACATGTTTGTATATCTAGCCACACATACAGTACTCTAACTCCCTGTCAATTGAAACCACATGTTTGTATATCTAGCCATACATACAGTACACTAGCTCCCTGTCAATATAAACCACATGTCTGTATATCTAGCCACACATACAGTACACTAGCTCCCTGTCAATATAAACCACATGTTTGTATATCTATCCATGCATACAGTACACTAGCTGTCTGTCAACACAAACCACATATTTGTATATCTAGCCATGCATACAGTACACTAGCTTCCTGTCAATACAAGCCACATATTTGTATATCTAGCCATGCATACAGTATACTAGCTCCCTGTCAATAAGAACCACATATTTGTATATCTAGCCATATATACAGTACACTAGCTTCCTGTCAATATGAACCACATGTTTGTATATCTAGCCATACATACAGTACACTAATTCACTGTCAATATAAACCCTTTGTTTATATATCTAGCCATGCATACAGTACAATAGCTCCCTGTCAATATGAACCACATGTTTGTATATCTAGCCATACATACAGTACACTAGTTCCCTGTCAACAGAAACCACATATTTGTATATCTATCCATGCATACAGTACACTAGCTTCCTGTCAACACAAGCCACATGTTTGTATATCTAGACATGCATTCAGTATACTAGCTCCCTGTCAATATGAACCACATATTTGTATATCTAGCCATACATACAGTACACTAGCTTCCTGTCAATATAAACCACAAGTTTGTATATCTAGCCATACATACAGTGCACTACCTGTCTGTCAAAACAAGCCACATGTTTGTATGTCTAGCCATGCATACAGAACACTAGCTCCCTGTCAATATAAACCACATGTTTGTATATCTAGCCATACATACAGTACTCTAGTTCCCTGCCAACACAAACCACATGTTTGTATATCTAGCCATGCATACAGTACACTAGCTTCCTGTCAATATAAACCATATGTTTGTATATCTAGCCATGCATACAGTACACTAGCTTCCTGTCAATATAAACCCCATGTTTGTATATCTAGCCATGCATACAGTACACTAGCTTCCTGTCAATATAAACCACATATTTGTATATCTATCCATGCATACAGTACACTAGCTTCCTGTCAATATAAACCACAAGTTTGTATATCTATCCATGCATACAGTATACTAGCTCCCTGTCAAAACAAACCACATGTTTGTATATCTAGCCATGCATACAGTACACTAGTTCACTGTCAATACAAACCACATGTTTGTATATCTAGCCATGCATACAGTACACTAGCTCCCTGTCAATACAAACTCCATGTTTGTATATCTAGCCATGCATACAGTGCACTAGCTTCCTGTCAATATAAACCACATATTTGTATATCTAGCCACACATACAGTACACCAGTTCACTGTCAATATAAACCCCATGTTTGTATATCTAGCCATACATACAGTACACTAGCTTCCTGTCAATATAAACCACATATTTATATATCTAGCCACACATACAGTACACTAGCTTCCTGTCAATATAAACCACATATTTGTATATCTAGCCATACATACAGTACACTAGCTTCCTGTCAACACAAGCCACATGTTTGTATATCTAGCCTTGCATACATAACACTGGCTCCCTGTCAATATGAACCACATGTTTGTATATCTAGCCACACATACAGTACACTAGTTCCCTGTCAATATAAACCACATGTTTGTATATCTAGCCATGCATACAGTATACTAGCTCCCCGTCAATATGAACCACATATTTGTATATCTAGCCATACATACAGTGCACTAGCTTCCTGTCAATATAAACCACAAGTTTGTATATCTAGCCATACATACAGTGCACAAGCTTCCTGTCAACACAAAACACATGTTTGTATATCTAGCCATGCATACAGAACACAAGCTCCCTGTCAATATAAACCACATGTTTGTATATCTAGCGATACATACAGTACACTAGCTTCCTGTCAACACAAGCCACATGTTTGTATATCTAGCCATGGAAACAGTACACTAGCTTCCTATCAATATAAACCACATGTTTGTATATCTATCCATGCATACAGTACACTAGCTTCCTGTCAACACAAGCCACATGTTTGTATATATATCCATGCATACAGTACACTAGCTTCATGTCAATATAAACCACATGTTTGTATATCTAGCCATGCATACAGTACACTAGCTTCCTGTCAACACAAGCCACATGTTTGTATATCTATCCATGCATACAGTACACTAGCTTCCTGTCAACACAAGCCACATGTTTGTATATCTAGCCTTGCATACATAACACTGGCTCCCTGTCAATATAAACCACATGTTTGTATATCTAGCCACACATACAGTACACTAGTTCCCTGTCAACACAAGCCACATGTTTGTATATCTATCCATGCATACAGTACACTAGCTTCCTGTCAACACAAGCCACATGTTTGTATATCTAGCCTTGCATACATAACACTGGCTCCCTGTCAATATGAACCACATATTTGTATATCTAGCCATACATACAGTACACTAGGTTCCTGTCAATACAAACCACATGTTTGTATATCTAGCCATACATACAGTGCACAAGCTTCCTGTCAACACAAGCCACATGTTTGTATGTCTAGCCATGCATACAGAACACTAGCTTCCTGTCAATATAAACCACATGTTTGTATATCTAGCCATGCATACAGTACACTATCTTCCTGTCAACACAAGCCACATGTTTGTATATCTAGCCATGCAAACAGTACACTAGCTTCCTGTCAACACAAGCCACATGTTTGTATATCTATCCATGCATACAGTACACTAGCTTCATGTCAATAAAAACCACATGTTTGTATATCTATCCATGCATACAGTACACTAGCTTCCTGTCAACACAAGCCACATGTTTGTATATCTATCCATGCATACAGTACACTAGCTTCCTGTCAATATAAACCCCATGTTTGTATATCTAGCAATACATACAGTACACAAGCTGCCTGTCAATATAAACCACATGTTTGTATGTCTAGATTCAGATTCATGAGTTCATCTGATTGTGACAACAATCTAGACGTTATAATGTTAGGCAACTGGTTCACACACATCCTGTCGATATTGGTGTAGATATATCAGATTCAGATTCATGAGTTCATCTGATTGTGACAACAATCTAGACGTTATAATGTTAGGCAACTGGTTCACTCACATCCTGTCGATATTGTTGTAGATATATCAGATTCAGATTCATGAGTTCATCTGATTGTGACAACAATCTAGACGTTATAATGTTAGGCAACTGGTTCACTCACCTCCTGTCGATATTGTTGTAGATATATCAGATTCAGATTCATGAGTTCATCTGATTGTGACAACAATCTAGACGTTATAATGTTAGGCAACTGGTTCACTCACCTCCTGTCGATATTGTTGTAGATATATCAGATTCAGATTCATGAGTTTATCTGATTGTGACAACAATCTAGACGTTATAATGTTAGGCAACTGGTTCACTCACCTCCTGTCGATATTGTTGTAGATATATCAGATTCAGATTCATGAGTTCATCTGATTGTGACAACAATCTAGACGTTATAATGTTAGGCAACTGGTTCACTCACATCCTGTCGATATTGTTGTAGATATATCAGATTCAGATTCATGAGTTCATCTGATTGTGACAACAATCTAGACGTTATAATGTTAGGCAACTGGTTCACACACATCCTGTCGATATTGTTGTAGATATATCAGATTCAGATTCACGAGTTCATCTGATTGTGACAACAATCTAGACGTTATAATGTCAGGCAACTGGTTCACTCACATCCTGTCGATATTGTTGTAGATATATCAGATTCAGATTCATGAGTTCATCTGATTGTGACAACAATCTAGACGTTATAATGTTAGGCAACTGGTTCACTCACATCCTGTCGATATTGTTGTAGATATATCAGATTCAGATTCATGAGTTCATCTGATTGTGACAACAATCTAGACGTTATAATGTTAGGCAACTGGTTCACTCACATCCTGTCGATATAGTTGTAGATATATCAGATTCAGATTCATGAGTTCATCTGATTGTGACAACAATCTAGACGTTATAATGTTAGGCAACTGGTTCACTCACATCCTGTCGATATTGTTGTAGATATATCAGATTCAGATTCATGAGTTCATCTGATTGTGACAACAATCTAGACGTTATAATGTTAGGCAACTGGTTCACTCACATCCTGTCGATATTGTTGTAGATATATCAGATTCAGATTCATGAGTTCATCTGATTGTGACAACAATCTAGACGTTATAATGTTAGGCAACTGGTTCACTCACATCCTGTCGATATTGTTGTAGATATATCAGATTCAGATTCATGAGTACATTTGATTGTGACAACAATCTAGACGTTATAATGTTAGGCAACTGGTTCACTCACATCCTGTCGATATTGTTGTAGATATATCAGATTCAGATTCATGAGTTCATCTGATTGTGACAACAATCTGGACGTTATAATGTTAGGCAACTGGTTCACTCACATCCTGTCGATATTATTGTAGATATATCAGATTCAGATTCATGAGTTCATCTGATTGTGACAACAATCTAGACGTTATAATGTTAGGCAACTGGTTCACTCACCACCTGTCGATATTGTTGTAGATATATCAGATTCAGATTCATGAGTTCATCTGATTGTGACAACAATCTAGACGTTATAATGTTAGGCAACTGGTTCACACACATCCTGTCGATATTGTTGTAGATATATCAGATTCAGATTCATGAGTTCATCTGATTGTGACAACAATCTAGACGTTATAATGTTAGGCAACTGGTTCACTCACATCCTGTCGATATTGTTGTAGATATATCAGATTCAGATTCTAGTTCATCTGATTGTGACAACAATCTAGACGTTATAATGTTAGGCAACTGGTTCACTCACATCCTGTCGATATTGTTGTAGATATATCAGATTCAGATTCATGAGTTCATCTGATTTTGACAACAATCTAGACGTTATAATGTTAGGCAACTGGTTCACTCACATCCTGTCGATATTGTTGTAGATATATCAGATTCAGATTCATGAGTTCATCTGATTGTGACAACAATCTAGACGTTATAATGTTAGGCAACTGGTTCACTCACATCCTGTCGATATTGTTGTAGATATATCAGATTCAGATTCATGAGTTCATCTGATTGTGACAACAATCTAGACGTTATAATGTTAGGCAACTGGTTCACTCACCTCCTGTCGATATTGTTGTAGATATATCAGATTCAGATTCATGAGTTCATCTGATTGTGACAACAATCTGGACGTTATAATGTTAGGCAACTGGTTCACTCACATCCTGTCGATATTGTTGTAGATATATCAAATTCAGATTCATGAGTTCATCTGATTGTGACAACAATCTGGACGTTATAATGTTAGGCAACTGGTTCACTCACATCCTGTTGATATTGTTGTAGATATATCAGATTCAGATTCATGAGTTCATCTGATTGTGACAACAATCTAGACGTTATAATGTTAGGCAACTGGTTCACTCACCTCCTGTCGATATTGTTGTAGATATATCAGATTCAGATTCATGAGTTCATCTGATTGTGACAACAATCTAGACGTTATAATGTTAGGCAACTGGTTCACTCACATCCTGTCGATATTGTTGTAGATATATCAGATTCAGATTCATGAGTTCATCTGATTGTGACAACAATCTAGACGTTATAATGTTAGGCAACTGGTTCACTCACCACCTGTCGATATTGTTGTAGATATATCAGATTCAGATTCATGAGTTCATCTGATTGTGACAACAATCTAGACGTTATAATGTTAGGCAACTGGTTCACTCACATCCTGTCGATATTGTTGTAGATATATCAGATTCAGATTCATGAGTTCATCTGATTGTGACAACAATCTAGACGTTATAATGTTAGGCAACTGGTTCACTCACCTCCTGTCGATATTGTTGTAGATATATCAGATTCAGATTCATGAGTTCATCTGATTGTGACAACAATCTAGACGTTATAATGTTAGGCAACTGGTTCACTCACCTCCTGTCGATATTGTTGTAGATATATCAGATTCCGTTTCATGAGTTCATCTGATTGTGACAACAATCTGGACGTTATAATGTTAGGCAACTGGTTCACTCACCTCCTGTCGATATTGTTGTAGATATATCAGATTCAGATTCATGAGTTCATCTGATTGTGACAACAATCTAGACGTTATAATGTAAGGCAACTGGTTCACTCACATCCTGTCGATATTGTTGTAGATATATCAGATTCAGATTCATGAGTTCATCTGATTGTGACAACAATCTAGACGTTATAATGTTAGGCAACTGGTTCACTCACCTCCTGTCGATATTGTTGTAGATATATCAGATTCAGATTCATGAGTTCATCTGATTGTGACAACAATCTAGACGTTATAATGTCAGGCAACTGGTTCACTAACATCCTGTCGATATTGTTGCAGATATATCAGATTCAGATTAGACTGGTGAGTGCATGTGATTGTGACAACAATATGGATATTATGATGTTAACCAACAGGTTCATTCACCTGTACACGTTGTGCTAGAAATATCAGATTCAGATTGATGAGTTCATCTGATTGTAGACGTTATAATGTTAGCCAACTGGTGTTACCTTGTAGTAGAGGATCTTGTCAAACCTTGGAACTTCTTTCACAAGAGGCCAGTGTTTGTTTGCGTCGTGGATAAATAAAGGATGGAGTTGGTCTACCACAAAGCATTCATCCTGAAAAAAATAGGAAACAACAATAAGAAACCTACAATATTCAAAGTTCTTGATACTATTGTAGCTAAGCGCTCTGTAACTATGACAACCAACTATGTCTGAATCCAAGGTAACTATGACAACCAGCTTTGTCTGAGTCCTCTGTAACTAAGAAAACCAACCAAGTGATCCCATTGGAACTACCTTTGGCAACCAGCTATGTCTGAGGTCACTGTAACTATGATAACGCCCATTGTACACGACAACATACCACATCGGACCGTTGCGACGTCTGCAAGTGGCTGCTGCTATGGCAACCTGGTGTAAAATATATTAAATCTAGTGCTACAGGCCTACGAAACCCTAAACATTTGTTTAATGGAAGCATCAGGATTTTCAAGGACACGTCGTGTGCTGGAGTGATGCCAATGTACTGAGAGATGCTATTATCCACTAATTCTTTCCTATTCTCTTTGTTTTACACCACAAGGCTTGGCAATGGAGATCTACTTTCAGAATGCATTTATCAAATGTAACATGCGTGTTCAACACGATACTCCGAGGAGTGTTTTAACTTAAGAACCGTCTACATGCAAGAACCAGAGAGAATACGAACACCTCGGGATACCTTATTGTGAAAGACTACACTCGTCGTGGTATAAACGAATCGAACGACCGAGGGCAAGAGAAATACCTTGCAGACAACTGAAGTCATGACATGTATGATTGAACACCCTGTCATCACCTGCCCCGGTGGCGCAGTGGAAAAGCTGTGGGTTACAATACCAAACATTATATGTAAGGTTGCAGGTTCGATTCACATCATGGTATTTTCCTGTGAAAATATTCATGTGACTTTTAACCAGCCATATCAAAAGGTTGTTTATTCGGTTCAAATGTTTTGGTTTGGTTTGTTGTTAAACGCCGCGCTCAGCAATATTCCAGCTATATGACGGCGGTCTGTAAATAATCGGGTCTGGACCAGACAATCCAGTGATTAATATCATGAGCATCGATCCACGCATTTGGGATCGATGACATGCATCAACCAAGTCAGCGAGCCTGACCACCCGATCCCGTTAGTCGCCTTTTACGACAAGCATAGTCACCATTTACGGCAAGCATGGGTTGCTGAAGACCTATTCTGCCCCGGAATCTTCACGGGTCGGTTCAAATGTAAAACCTCCAAGCAGGTCTCACTTGAAAGTAGTTCCTCTCACAAAGTTACTATGAGACAGCAAGATACCTACAATACTGTAGCTTAAGTGACCCCGATTATTAAATGTGTGTCCGACCTGTCTCCATGAGGGATGGAGACTGTGTATCACGTAGAACTCAAAGAACACAGCGAAGCCCTCGCTCAGCCACACCCATCGCCACGTTGTCGGGGTGACCAAGTTCCCAAACCACTGAAACAGTCGAAACATTAGCAGTGAATTATGTCCTACGATTTAGAAATAATGAAGAAAGGGACTTCATCTATCTGAAACTACGTAATATGTCTAGTCCACATTTTTATTTATCAAGTGTTTGTTTGTTATTTAACGCCGCAATCAGCAATATTCCAGCTATATGACGGAGGTCTGTAAATAATCGAGTCCAAACCAGACAAATCATTGATTGACATCATGAGCATCGATCCACGCAATTGAAATACTATGATTGTTGGTTCGAATCCCGGTTCGCCCCGATTATGTTTCTTGGTTTGTCAGCTCCATACCCGTGCTCGTGGGTTTCACCGAAGCGTTAAACGTCTGAGACCTGCATCACTTCGGGCTTTCCTCCCACATTAAACTGACACGCTGCGATATAACTGGAATAGTCTTACAAGCGGTGTTAAACCCAGCTCACTCACTCACTCAGTCACTGTCAGGTCTCAAGTGTTACCTGGTGACACACTTCATGTCCAAGGAGAAGCATGGTTCCTAGTTTGGCCTTCCTGGAGTTGACTTCGGGGTTGAACACGATGTCTCTATACATGACTAGTCCCCAGTTCTCCATGGCTGCCCCGAGCCGACCCCGGATGACGATGTTATCTGCAAGTGTCAACACTGAATCATACTGCGCCATGTCTAGGACAAATAACACCGCATTCCGATTGGTTATTCTGAGTTTTCAACCAAAAAGAACATCCTCCGATTGACCTTAAAAGAGTGAATCAGATTGAACTTAAGTTCACAAGAGGCATAAATTCCAATTTATTGACATAGTTATATTTAAAACAAAACAGATTAAAAAAATTAATTACCCTCCACATATTGCAACACTAAATATTCGGAGAATATCCAAAAATACAAAATTTCGTGACTGTCAATGGCTTCGGCGATAATCGATTTGTGACCGTAAGCTGCCAAGGAGCCCTGATTGTGGCGTCGAATCCAGGTTTCGCCCCCATTAAGACCCTTATAGTTTTCGCAACAAAAATTCATAACGGTAAACGTCTCACAATGCAAGTGTTTGTTGCTTAACGTTCAACTCTGCAACGTGCATATTATATGACGGCGGCCTGTAAATAACCCAGTCTGGTCCTGACACACCGATGATTGCTGTTACGGACAACGTCCCATACCGTCGGGGCACGGTGACATGCAATCAACTACGTCATCGAGCCGGATGAGTCGATCATTAAGCCGCCAGGGTCAACCCAGCTGATGTTCATTTTAGTATTTTAGTTTGGGGACAGTGTCAGTGAACAGAGTCTCAAAATGTCCCTTAATTCAGTTAGTGAATGGAGCGTCCGCCCGGAGAGCAGAATGTCAGCGGGTCGATCTATGGCCGCTCCATGGGGTATCCAATAGGGAATGGCATCTCAGTGGGCTTTATAAAACAGGTATGATTCCGGTCTAGTACAAGCCCACACGCACGCACGCACGCACGCACGCACGCACGCACGCACGCACGCACCGACGCACCGACGCACGCACGCACGCACGCACATTCAGTTACCTATTTTTGAAAGTGGATAGGGGGGCCGGAGGTTCTGGTTAAACCACTCAAATATCCGTATTCCCTGCTCGTGGGCCATTGTCACTTCAGAAATAATGTCCGGCTCTGAGATGGTGCGATACTGAAATATAAAAGAAAAATATCTTAAATTACGCACCAGAATGTTTCATTGCCAGGTGTACCAGAACTTGCGCGTCAACGACACACGATGGGACGAATAGTCAACGTTGTTGATCTAACTGTTTGTAATATACATGGTAATTAATAAGGTATCGAGTATCCTAAAGAGACACCACTGTAACCTGAGTATCAATTCTAGCATGCCTTCTAATACACCGAAGCCATGCTCGCTGTCCAAGCTATACAACTAAGCCAGTGCATCTCGTGTTATTCAGTGTATCAGTGCTCTTACTCAGTCAGTGCGTCTAGTGTTATTCAGTGTATCAGTGCTCTTACTCAGTCAGTGCGTCTAGTGTTATTCAGTGTATCAGTGCTCTTACTCAGTCAGTGCGTCTAGTGTTATTCAGTGTATCAGTGCTCTTACTTAGGCAGTGCATCTCGTGTTATTCAGTGTATCAGTGCTCTTACTCAGCCAGTGCATCTCGTGTTATTCAGTGTATCAGTGCTCTTACTCAGTCAGTGCACCTCGTGTTATTCAGTGTATCAGTGCTCTTACTCAGTCAGTGCATCTCGTGTTATTCAGTGTATCAGTGCTCTTACTCAGTCAGTGCATCTCGTGTTAGTCAGTGTATCAGAGCTCTTACTCAGTCAGTGCATCTCGTGTTATTCAGTGTATCAGTGCTCTTACTCAGTCAGTGCATCTCGTGTTATTCAGTGTATCAGTGCTCTTACTCAGTCAGTGCATCTCGTGTTATTCAGTGTATCAGTGCTCTTACTCAGTCAGTGCATCTCGTGTTATTCAGTGTATCAGTGCTCTCACTCAGTCAGTGCATCTCGTGTTATTCAGTGTATCAGTGCTCTTACTCAGTCAGTGCATCTCGTGTTATTCAGTGTATCAGTCCTCTTACTCAGTCAGTGCATCTCGTGTTATTCAGTGTATCGTGCTCTTACTCAGTCAGTGCACCTCGTGTTATTCAGTGTATCAGTGCTCTTACTCAGTCAGTGCATCTCGTGTTATTCAGTGTATCAGTGCTCTCACTCAGTCAGTGCATCTCGTGTTATTCAGTGTATCAGTGCTCTTACTCAGTCAGTGCATCTCGTGTTATTCAGTGTATCAGTCCTCTTACTCAGTCATTGCATCTCGTGTTATTCAGTGTATCGTGCTCTTACTCAGTCAGTGCACCTCGTGTTATTCAGTGTATCAGTGCTCTTACTCAGTCAGTGCATCTCGTGTTATTCAGTGTATCAGTGCTCTTACTCAGTGAGTGCATCTCGTGTTATTCAGTGTATCAGTGCTCTTACTCAGTCAGTGCGTCTAGTGTTATTCAGTGTATCAGTGCTCTTACTCAGTCAGTGCGTCTAGTGTTATTCAGTGTATCAGTGCTCTTACTTAGGCAGTGCATCTCGTGTTATTCAGTGTATCAGTGCTCTTACTCAGCCAGTGCATCTCGTGTTATTCAGTGTATCAGTGCTCTTACTCAGTCAGTGCACCTCGTGTTATTCAGTGTATCAGTGCTCTCACTCAGTCAGTGCATCTCGTGTTATTCAGTGTATCAGTGCTCTTACTCAGTCAGTGCGTCTCGTGTTATTCAGTGTATCAGTGCTCTTACTCAGTCAGTGCATCTCGTGTTATTCAGTGTATCAGTGCTCTTACTCAGCCAGTGCATCTCGTGTTATTCAGTGTATCAGTGCTCTTACTCAGCCAGTGCATCTCGTGTTATTCAGTGTATCAGTGCTCTTACTCAGTCAGTGCATCTCGTGTTATTCAGTGTATCAGTGCTCTTACTCAGTCAGTGCATCTCGTGTTATTCAGTGTATCAGTGCTCTTACTCAGTCAGTGCATCTCGTGTTATTCAGTGTATCAGTGCTCTTACTCAGTCAGTGCGTCTAGTGTTATTCAGTGTATCAGTGCTCTTACTCAGTCAGTGCATCTCGTGTTATTCAGTGTATCAGTGCTCTTACTCAGTCAGTGCATCTCGTGTTATTCAGTGTATCAGTGCTCTTACTCAGTCAGTGCATCTCGTGTTATTCAGTGTATCAGTGCTCTTACTCAGTCAGTGCATCTCGTGTTATTCAGTGTATCGTGCTCTTACCCAGTCAGTGCATCTCGTGTTATTCAGTGTATCAGTGCTCTTACTCAGTCAGTGCATGTCGTGTTATTCAGTGTATCAGTGCTCTTACTCAGTCAGTGCATCTCGTGTTATTCAGTGTATCGTGCTCTTACTCAGTCAGTGCATCTCGTGTTATTCAGTGTATCAGTGCTCTTACTCAGTCAGTGCATCTCGTGTTATTCAGTGTATCGTGCTCTTACTCAGTCAGTGCATCTCGTGTTATTCAGTGTATCAGTGCTCTTACTCAGTCAGTGCATCTCGTGTTATTCAGTGTATCAGTGCTCTTACTCAGTCAGTGCATCTCATGTTATTCAGTGTATCAGTGCTCTTACTCAGTCAGTACGTCTAGTGCAACGCTACCTAAGCAGATAAGTTGCAAGTAACCGCCCTGATCTTGGGCGTTTGTTTGTTTGCTGTTTAACGCCGCACTCAACTCCCAGAGGTCTTCATAACTCTGACGATGGAAAGTTTATGGAACGGTCGATTGAGTTAAAGGTAATGTCTTCCTTATCGCCAAAAAATGGCATTTGAGATGCGTTTGGTTGGGTTTTTTAACGCCGCACTCAGCAATATTCCAGCTTTATGGCCGCGGTTTGTAAAAAATAGAGTCTGGACGAGCCAATCCAGTGACTGACATCAAGAGCATCGATCCACGCAATTTGGATACTATGACATGCATCAAACAAGTCAGCGAGCCTGACCACCCGATCCAATTAGTCACCTTTCACGGCAAGCAGGGGTTGCTGAAGATCTGTTCCACCCCGGATCTTCATATGTCCGACCTGATCTAACTGTTGTTGTGGCGGTATATACTCCTTAGGTACATCTACATATCTTCTGTGTTTTCGTTTCGTATTTAGATCTAGGCATGCGGATTCAGAGTGACAAAACACTCTCCACAAGACTGTCTACTTATCAATGGTCAGCTTGTCCTTTATGTCGAGCAATATGTAGGCCGCTCCAGCCTTTGATGTCTTCGTTACACGACTTCTGAGGTACAATGGGGCATGATATAATTTTAGAGAGCGTCACACGTGTCGTCCTCATAGTTGATTGACGGCGGTTAACCGCCTCCGTGGTCTAGAGGTAGAGCGTCCGCCCGGAAAGCGGAAGGTTCGGTGTTCGATCCCCGGCATCGTAATACCAAAAGACGTTAAAAGATGGTACTTGTTGTTACCCTGTCTGGCGCTCGGCACTAAGGGGATAAAACAAGGACTGGTCGGCTCGGAGTCAGTATACTGTGTCTAAGTCGGGTGTCATAACTGCGGTATGTTATCTCAGTGCGTTAGCACTATATGTAGGCATCAGTCCGGACTAGTACAAGAAGCCACACACACACGTGCATGCACATCGCTACATAAGTGCAATAATCTTGGACGCGATGTTAAACCCAATTTCACCTCGCCTTGACGGCAGTTACACATCCAAGCTTTCAAGAACGTTTTAACTGACATGACATTGTGGGATTTTATATTTGACGCGTCAGTGACAAAAACAATGTCTGATGTACCACTGCTTATTTGGACAAGTACCATATGACTTGCCCTTGCATGTGTTTGTGACGGGTTCCATCGGTGGAGCAGGATACGCTGACCTTGTCGTGGACACCTGGTAACACCACTATTAGAAAGTGATTCCTGTTTGTTTGTTGCTTAACGCCGCGCTCAGCAATATTCAAGCTCTAGGACGGCGGTCTGTAAATAATCGAATTTGGACCAGACAATCCAGTGATTGATAATTATGAGCATCGATCCACGCAATTGGGATACGATGTCATGCATCAGCCAAGTCACCGAGCCTGATCACACGATCGTGTTAGTCGCCTCTTACGACAAGCATAGTCACCTTTTACGACAAGCATGGGTTGCTGAAGACCTATTCTATCCCGGATCTTCACGGGTCGAAAGTGATTCCTAAACACATGCTCAAGATATAGTCGGAATCGTGCGGTAGACTGTTAACAGATATTTCTGATTATTAGAGGGATTTTTCCGCTTTTAGTCCCCGAATCTACGTACATTGAAAAACATGCTCCGTACTATACACGATTGTTTGTGGTGGTTGTACATTAGGAAATTATTTACATGTTATTTCCTTAGACCATGGGAAGAGTTTTCATTGCAATATTTTCATAAAGCATCCATGAAGACTGTAGTAGCAATCACTATCTGCTCGACTGCGTCTTACCATGACCCCTGTTGACGTGACGTTTTCCATGTAGTCGTAGTTGACGACCGCGAAGGCGAGGATGTAGATCGACATCTTGGGTGTCGTCTCGTAAACATCGGCAACATAGTTGTCTCCCCTGAAACATCATAATATTTGAAATCACCTCTGATTTGTAAGTGTGCGCGAATAGAAAACTCCTTTTTTGACCACATGTTGTTAGTTGTGGTATGTTGTATTAGTAAGGAAATTTGAACATACAGTTAACTACGGTTATAACAAACTCAAAGGGACCACTCATTTTTAGTTCGTAATAACCGCAGTTCGTTATAAACAAATATATAGCATATAAACAAAAAATGGCCGGGACTAAAAAATGAGTTTGTTATATCGGTAAGTTCGTTATAAGCGTGTTCGTTATAAACGTAGTTTACTGTACTTCGAGTTCCTGTCTGTGACAAAGCAGTTTTGTCATAAGACGTAATTAGGACTTAGTTTGAAGTTGATGAAGTTGATGAAGTTGATGATGTTGATGATGTTGATGATGCTGCACCAGCCACACCTTGGATCCTGTCGGATGATGTCCGTGTTGGACCACGATGTGTAGTTCCCCACCTTCCTCACCAGCGTAATGTTGAAGGTAGTCTTATAGCGAGGTTCATCGAAACAGGGAATCGCTTGTCGGGCTTTAGATGGTTGGAACTGGCTCACCGCAAAGTATCTGTAAGACAATTCGACAATAGTGTAGCACAATTATATAATTGTGTGAGTGAGTGAGTATGGCTTTACGCCGCTTTTAGCAATATTCCAGCAATATCACGGCGGGGGACCCCAGAAATGGGCTTCACACATTATACCCATGTCGGGTCTTCGGCGTGACGAGCGAACGCTTTAACCACAAGGTTACCCAAACGCCAACAATTATACAATGGTACATCACAAATACATGATAATGTAGCAAAGCCGAACCATAATATGACACAATTACACGCATGATATCATAATTACACAATACTCAGAGCTCGAGATAAGATGCGTATATGCGTAAAATACGCATTAAATAAACTGAAATACGCAGAAAAATCAAATCCTAGCGTATCAAATACGCAAGAAAAACTATAACGCTATATCATAATAAAATTAATGCATATATTACAACTTTTAGATAAAACGATTGCCTATATTACAACTGTTTGATGGTCTGATCGCGAAATCAGCTGATCGCGAAATTCACTTACCGACAGTTACATTGGGAAAAGCTGACGCGGCAAACATACTGATAGATGCCACTTGAAAAGCACATCTTGCCTAGTCAATGTACGTGTTGTATCCTGAATAGGCGCTAATTGGTATGGAATACTGTAAGGGACATTCTCGCGATCTCGCATTCTCGCTATCTCGACCTTTGGAAACGAACTAAATATGTCCAAAACACGAGAATGCGAGATTGCGAGAACGCGAAATTTGGCCAAATTCTCGTGTTTTTGATACAAAGCACTTTTTGTCAATAGTCGACAATGCGAGAGAGCGACATTTGGACATGGTGAAAATCTCGCAATCTCGACTTGTCAAATTAGGCCACAAAAACATAAAATCGCGAGAACGCGAGAATGCGACATTTCATTTTCTCGCGATCTCGCGATCTCATCATGTCCAAATGTCACATTCTCGCGTTGTCGACTTTTGACAAATTGTGCTATGTATCAAAAACACGAGATCGCGAGAACGCGCGATTTTGGCAAAAAATCAAGCCCCTGGGTACGTTACCAAAATGACCAAAAGTTTATTTAAGTTTATGCTTGTTTGTTTGTTGCTTAACGCCGCACCCAGCAATATGCCAGCTATATGACGGCGGTCTGTAGATAATCGAGTCTGAACCAGACAATCCAGTGATTGACATCATGAGCATCGATCCACGCAATTGGGATACGATGACGTACATCAGCCAAGTCAGCGAGCCTGACCACCAGATTCTATTTGTCGCCTCATACAACACAATTAAGCAGGAGTACAACACAAATTAACAATAGTAAAACACATAGTAGTATAAACCAATTAAATAATATTTGCTTCCTCAAGACTGGTAGCGAATATTAAAAAATGGATCATTCCAGGAAGAAAATGTTGTATGTGAAACCTACATGGTATTTTACATTAGGAAAATAGGAACAGCTGCAACACAGTTTCATTCAATATTGTATGATTTGATGTATTATAAAGGGAAATTACATGGCGAAGAAAATATCCGCAGTTGCTGTTGCTAAATTACAGATAAGAGTGAGTGAGTATGGTTTTACGCCGATTTTAGCAATATTACAGCAATATCTCGGCGCGGGTCACCAAAAATGGGCTTCACACATTGTACCCATGTCGGGAATCGAACCCGGGTCTTCGGCTTGACGAGCGAACGCTTAAACCACTAGGCTACCCAACCGCCCCACATAGAAGATGAATACCATGTATTAATATTTTAATAAGTATAAATGACCAAGCGGATGTTGTGCCAGATGTCAACCAAATATTGGCCCCACAGACTAGGCGTCATCGGCTGGTTCTGGTTCTCTCTCAACCGTCGTTCCCTCTCGTTTGCACAAAGGGTAGAACATGATATCGAACGATGCCGTCCCGGTAACACATTATGTTCTCCGAAGACTTTAATGCCTCTCCATATCATTACACCCTCAACATGACGACGTTGGGTAACGCAAGTGTCGTTAAAACGTTATCACGAACGCCTGGAGACCATCAGAGCTGTCCAGATGAAACTTGGACTCATCTCCAACAGTCCCAGTCTTGTCTTCCGAGCCTCGTGTGCTGTCTACAACAAGCTCGGCGTGCCTGGCGGTGACGTGGAAGCAAGACTGGGCGTACCGCTGGACGACGGGGCCGAATGTTGCGCTCCTTCAAACGGTTGCGTACGGTACTGCCACTAACTGGTCTTAACCCAGGAATTGTCTGAGCTGTAAAGCAGTCTGGTAGGGATTCTGTAGATGCACCAACCGCATAGTGTTGTCTCCTTGTCGTGCTTTCAGAATTCCCACGTTACAAAGACGTGTTTTGAACGGCTGTTAGCTACACAATCATTGTGTGCTGTTCAAATTAAAAACACGTGTTTGAGTATCATGTTTCCAACAAACACGCAAACATCTAAAATGTGCGCCGTACATGAACATACACGTGCAAATTATGAATCACGAACTAAAAGTCAAAGAGATGTCTTTATAAGATATCATAATGTATATTGAAAGATGAATTATTTAATTTCAAAATTATTTCCTTAAATTTAACTTTTATATGAAGCACAGTCACTTATTCCTGTCAGTATATAAAGGCATATTCATCACATATATTTACATTCGACTCGAGATACATCGTCAATCTTCTTTCCTTATACGGGGAAATGGAGGGCTAAGTCGCCTTAGGCGCAATTCGCGATACAGAGTTGCGTCCCTTAGACACGCCAGAAACCTAATCATAGGTTCGAAATCCGGTTCGCCCCGATTACGTTTGTAGGTTTGTTAGCGCCATACCCATGTTTGGATTCCACCGAAGTGGTAAACGTCTGAGACCTGCATCACTTTGGGCTTTCCTCCAACATTAAACTGACACGCCGTGATATAACTGGAATACTGTTCAAAGCGGCGTTAAACCCAACTCACTCACCAATTCACTCACTCACTCTCTTCTCATACACTGACTACGGCCGCTGTCAAGTGGTAACTTAGGGATATAATTATTGTTCTAAATTTCAGGACTGGCATATAAATATACATGTAGATATAGATATAAACATAGTATTTATAGTTTCAGCTTGGTAAAAATGATACTTTTCAACATTGTGTCTCTGCAATATCACTAATACTAACTGGTATTATGCTAGGCATGTTGACCCATAACGTCCCCCACCACCATGTCAGCAGCGGTTCTATGAGGTGAGGTGAAATTGGGTTTAACGTCGCGTCCAAGATTATTGCATTTATATAGCGACGTGCATGCACGTGTGTGTGTGTGGCTGCTTGTACTAGTCCGGACTGATGCCGATTCATAGTGCTAGCTCACTGAGATACCATGCCGCAGTTTAACATGAATACCCCACTCAGACACAGTATACTGACTCCGAGCCGACCAGTCCTTGTTTTAGCCCCTTAATGCCGAGCACCACACAGGGTAACAACAAGTACCATCTTTTAACGTCTTTTGGTATGACGCGGCCGGGGATCGAACCCCGGACCTTCCGCTCTACGGGCGGACCCTCTACCACAAGACCACGGAGGCGGCGCGGTTCTATGACTAATACGCTGTCATCCATACAATGTTGCGTTGATGTTAGCATGTAAACACTCCAGCATGAGGACATTTTTCGAACATTGGTTAGATCATGGTGTCAAAGGCGGACATGTGTTTTTCCCTTCAAACTACCGCGTGCTTGTACTGGAGTTACGTGTCATATTAGAGCCAAGTAAACATCTGAAGTCCCCAAGACCCTAACTACCTTCGTTCAGCTAAGCTTCTAGCTAGGAAATACTATAATCCTTGGTATCCTTCATTTCACAGCAATAACGACGTAATACATCTAGGGTTGGTATTTTCAAGTTCGGGGCGGGTTTCTGGAAACGGAAATGGATCCTCTGCATGAATTGATATTACAAACTTTAGACACGATGCATTGTTTTTCTTCATTAAATGATAATATTCTTGTAATGGGGACGCGGCAAGATCATTTAAATACACTGAACATTATAATGGTGATAAATTGTCGCCTTGCCAAAACAACCAGACAACTTTTCTCGCAATTCGTCAGGACAAAGAATTTAACGGCGCAATGTCAACAATGTAAGAAATTGACCTTGAATTCCATGCGTCAATAATGTATAACAAAAATCTAGTCTCCACACCTTATCACGCGCTATTGAAATATATATATTAAGTATAAAAGCACCTTACAGATTTTGTGTTCGAAGTTTAAATGACATTAACATGTGGATAACAAATGTATATTTTACATGTTGCGAAGGTTTTGAGAGCGCAATGATTGATGATTCAACGAACTGGTTGCGCGTTGTATTCAGACTATGTGTGTGATGCGTCCACTGAGACCGCTTAAGATGGCTATCGCCCCACAAGAATTTGCACCAAGCGAGTTGCTCTTTTTAAATGGGCACAATTACTCTTACACCATTCTTCGGGTATATAACTTGATTTCAAGAATGCCTAGAAGAAACAACATATACGTAGAAACGCTTGTGTGTTTAAAAAAGACTTTAAAGGCCCGAATATTTCTCCCATGGGAGAAAATTGTAGGCCTAGCCCATGCCTACCAGGCGGAGGGGTGAAATATGAGTCTGACGGAGATCTCTGCTTTGGCCACGTGGCTGTGTAGGCGTGTACCGCATGTCATCATATGGCACTTCTAATGTAAATTTAGTGGAGTAAAGAAATGATAAACATTTCTACAGGACATTTTCCTGACAATTGTTGAAATAACATTCAAATAATTGTATATTGCCACTGACTACAAAATATCTACATCACACTCTAACAACAAACTGTACCCAGGAGTCGTACTCTCGGTTATAAATATATAACATTAAGATAATTTAAAAGTCATTTATTGTCCATGAATTATATGTGTAATATGGAAAGTGTTAAATTGAATATGAGTGAGTGAGTGAGTGAGTGAGTTGGGTTTAACGCCGCTTTTAACAGTATTCCAGTTATATCGCGGCGTGTCAGCTTAATGTGGGAGGAAAGCCCGAAGTCATGCAGGTCTCAGACGTTTACCACTTCGGTGAAACCCGCGAGCACGGGTATGGTGCTGACAAACCTAGAAACATAATTGGGGCGAACAGGGATTCGAACCCACAATCATAGGTTTCTGGCGTGCCCAAGGGACGCAACTCTGCACAGCGAATCGCGGCGCCACCCGTGCCCCCAAATTGAATATGATATGAATGTATGTAAAGGTATTAATGTGTACCAACCACGTAATGTAAATGCACCCAAAGTCTATCATACGGGAGCGCATGTGGCGACCAATTATATTTAAGTAATTGGTTTTCTGAGTTAACTGACAGGGTGCAGAGTACGGGAAGGAATACGAAATCTCGGGGAGGTGTATAGAGCTAGGGTTGTCACAGAACAGCCAAGGTGATTTAAGAGAAACTATTAGTTAAGATTAAATATATGAAATGAACAAGGGAGAAACCTGTCCGACCCATATAGATGCAAGTTAGAAAATAAACTCAGGAATTATTAGAGAGGATTAGCCTAGGAGTACGAGGTCAGAACCTTGTGTAAGTCACTAAGAAGCTGTTTGACTACTCAATCTTCAGACTAATAAACAATGTTTTATTTTATAGAAATGAACAAAATAGAACAAAATGTTCACTAATTATCAATCGTTTAATCTTTGCAAAGAATAATGTTCTACCCATTCTCCCACTGATGTCCAACATACTCCTCCCTGTCAGTCTTAGGCATCCATTGTCTTGATGCACACAGAAGGGCATTATGTCCCTCCCGTGCTTCCTGTAGTGTGTCATCCTTCTATCTTGTCTCAGAGCTGAACATTTTCTGGTTATATATGGTGTACTTGGACAAATACTTACTATTTTAAAGTATTTTCTTACAATAAACACGTGTTTTGTCTCTTTACCAACATTTCCTTCATTTATCATATACTCTCACATTGAAACACTGGTTGTGACAGCGGTAATGGCCCCAGATAGCATCTGTCTACATTCCCCTCCACGACCCGGCTGTGTCTATAGTCCTTGGCTACAACCTCTCCCCTCACCACTTTCACAGATGGACTCGTCAAACGTCAGAAGTTTTGAATATTCTTGAGAAGTTCCAAATTACTTTTCAAGATATCTATTTATGATTGCTATCTTAAAAATCATACTTATAGGCTTATTTACTCCTTGTAATACATGGAATAAATAGACCGAAAATTGAACATAGATATGCCTTTGAACTATCAGTATTTTCAAAAGAGCAGTCTAAGTGGTGTACCATTTTAACGGCATGAGGTCAAGATTGTCACTGCCATCTTTAGGAGAGGTCCACTATTTATAGGGGACGTAGGCAAAGATGATACTCGTTGTTACCATGCCTGCTGCTCGGCATAAGGGGATACAAGAAAGACCGGTCGGCTTGGAGCCATTATACTGTATCTGAGTTTGGCATCTACTTAAAACTGTGGTATTGTATCTCAGTGGGCTAGCACTGTAAGGTCGGCTTTAGCATTGACCACATAAGTTCTAAGTCGGCCAACAACGTTATTTATCGCATTACATATTAAATCTTGGCTTGGTGATTGTCAAAATCCATTTCATTAACTGACTGATTTGTGAACTCCACACGTCATAGACGCGTACAGGAAATCCGTGACTTGCGCATCAAAACAAAGGGGCAAACAAAAGTATACCGAGTTTGTTTTTTATGTAATTGAAAACTGAAAGAACAGTTGTTAAATTTGATTACAGTAAACTACGGTTATAAAAACAAAGGGGCAAACAAAAGTATACCGAGTTTGTTTTTTATGTAATTGAAAACTGAAAGAACAGTTGTTAAATTTGATTACAGTAAACTACGGTTATAGCGAACTCAAAGGGACCACTAATTTTAGTCGTAATAACCGCAGTTCGTTATAAGCAAATATACAGCTTAAAAACAAGAAATGTCGGGAACTAAAAATTGAGTTCGTTATATCGGTAAGTTCGTCATAAGCGTGTTCGTTATAAACGAAGTTTTCTATATGTCTAATTAACCATGATTAATTTATGATTCAGTTTGTGATACGTAATGTGTGGCTGGGTGGGAAAAGAATGGTAAATAAAGATGGGGATAAGAAATAAATTTGAAATATACGATCCTTACCATGTTTGAAATGTAAATTTAAGCTGAAAAAAGATCCGATCTCTATGATACCCATCCGCTGTCGAGTATTATGCGTTTTTTTACAAGCTTTAGATACAATTCTATTCCAAGAAATATAACTATGTAGAAATATTCGAGTGCTAACTAAGCAGAAATACAGTTCAATGTTTGGATATAATATCGCTAACTTAAGCTATTGTACCAGATGTTAAATTTAGAATAACACTTTCTTAGTAAATTACAGATTCTCGTACCTTTTTGGGTCGAGTCCCGTCCGGAAAGTGTTATCCCAAATATAACATTTGTTACGTTTGACCTCTTTCTGAATGGTATTGTGTGTTCAAAACTTAAGATATCGTGAACTGAAAATCTAACATATGTTAAATTGAACTGAGAGGTATGGTTTATTTTGCCCCTCAGTATATATAATTTGTTAAAGAAAATACAACCGTTTTGTGATAATGTGTCAGTAAAAAAAACCAAAGACCTTACTTTTTATGTAGTATTGCAATACGGAATAATTTTCACCTACGAAATATACTTTTGAAAATGTTGTTACTACCTGTGCGTTTCTTTTGTTGGAGGGTAGTTACAGTTAAACATATTTGCTACTTTACCAATTGCACCGTTTGAACTACATTGTCCACATTAACCAGTTGTAAGAGGCGAAATGTGGATTGGTTGGTCAGCTGTTGTGACTTCGATGATTGCGTGTCATCGTTCCAATGTTGTGTGTCCATACTCGATTATATATACAGTAAACTACGGTTATAACGAACTCAAAGGGACTACTAATTTTAGTTCGTTATAACCGTAGTTCGTTATAAGTACATATACAGCATGACTACAGCAAGTAGTCGGGACCCAAAAGTAAGTTCGTTATATCCGTCAGTTCGTTATAAGCGTGTTCGTTATAACCGTAGTTTACTGTATACATGTAGCTGGAATATTCCTGAGTGTGTAGTGGAACAGCAATCAAACCCAATGGACATTAAGAATGGGTGTGAGTGATTATGGTTTTACGCCGCTTTTAGCAATATTCTAGCAATATCACGACGGGGGACACCAGAAATGGGCTTCACACATTGTACCCATGTCGGGAATCGAACCCGGGTCTTCGGCGTGACGAGCGAACGCTTTCACCACTAGGCTACCAGACCGCCCCAACACATTAAGAATGATCGACCGGTACATGTACTCACTGTATCCGTCCGTTCTCGTCCTTATAGGCGTTGTAAGCTATCCCGTATGGTGATGACGTCAGTTGGTCCTCGTAACCAATCGACAGCTGGTATTTCTCGCCAACTGTCAACTCCATGTTTAACAGAAGGATATAAAACTCCCTCTCTTTGTCAGATATTGTCTGTACAATTCTTGGCGCGGACTGATTGGCTCTTAATGGTTTTAGTGACAGAGACTGTCTATCAATAGTTAGCTCTTTGACATTAAGCGTTATATTCCACGTCGGTTCTTTGACGTCAAGGAAGATGGATACGTTACCGTGGAGTTTGAATAATGCTGATTTATTTTGGTAGATGTCCATAAACAGTTGTATGTTGTAGTGATAAGGTACCACTTGACCAGGGAGGGTTTTGTTTACAGGCGCCGGCTGTGTTGTCGTTGTCGTGGTTGTAGGCGCAGCAGAGGAGGAGGTTGACGTTGGTGACGTCTGTGGGGTTGAGGCCGACAATGACATCATTGATGTCATCGTGGAAGTCGTTAGGTAATCTTTGCCTTAAACAAATAAATGCAAAATGTATGAAGCTGACTCAACACGGGAGGGCATAATGTATTGACTTGGATTACAGGGTTGAACCTGAATACAGCAGGTAATTGAGAAAAATTCTATACGTGGAAGGAAAATGCAGACATTTGAAAAGGACATCAGCTGGGAGCCGACCGTTTGGTGAAGGTGTGTGTGTGTGTGTGTGTGGGGGGGGGGGGGGGGGGGGGGGGGCGTATAATCTTCGATTTTTGCCCCATTCTGTTAATTGTCTGCTACTAAGATTTCAAGGTGTTTCTTGTAAAACAATATTTACGTTTATATTTTAAAAGGTTTAATGAAAAAATCTAGTTTTGCTGCCGTAGTTGAAAAACATATCTAGTCTCCTTATATAATTTTCGCGAGGTCCAGATTGAGAGATCTCATTCTCTCCGTCTTGAATTATGGCAAAAGGTCCTGTATACAGGAAACATGAAGATTGGGCATATGTGGCTTGTTTAAGAGCAAGGTTCAAGGTTGTAAAGGTGAAGAACGCGAGATCGCGAGAATGTCCCTTACAGTATTCTGTGGAGAATGTTTTCTTTCTCCACCATTCTCTGAACTTGTCCATGCACAGGGAGCACCTAACACGCAGTGAGTGAGATACGTCTTCGTGCTTGAGATATCAGAACTTCTCTGATAGCCTTTAGCACAGGTGTACATATCTCGCCCGTATCCGCTGTAACTAGCCTACTTTCTGACCTGCTCGTTAAGAAACTTTTAAAAATGATTTAATATCCACCATTACGTTAATACACCATCGTTTGGATTCCGGGTTGGAATTGGTTCCCTTAAGCCTTTACTGGTGGTAGTTAATGTCAACGTACCCCAAAGGCGTGAATCGTTGCTCATAATATCAGTCTCAGTACTGTCTGGCCAAGACTCAAATATTTACAGGTAACCGTCATATTTTCTACATGGTGTTCTTGCCACAACTCAAAACTAATCGCGTAAACCGAGTTCTCGTCTTGATGTACCACGGCCTGTCACATGTGTGGTATACACGGGAGTCGGTGAATACCAACAAAGCATCTATAAAACGCCTTTGTGTAGTCTGTACGCTTGAGTTATGAAAAATCCAGATCCATGAAGATCCGGGTTAGAATGGATCTTCAGCAACCCATACTTATCGTCAGAGGCCACTATGACTAACGTAATCGATCGCTGACTTGGTTGATGCATCTATCCCAATTGCGTGGATCGATGCTCATAATATCAATCACTCGATTTGTCCCGACTCGATTATTTACAGACCGTCGTCATATAGCTTGAATATTGCTGAGTGCGGCGTTAAAAACACACACAAAAAAAACAACAAATATGAAAAGACCAAAATAATGAGGCAGCTTCATACATTCTGGAGTACGTTCCCCCAGTCTCACGTTTCCCCGCATCACAGACACCACGAGAACAGACAGGAGAGGCGCACAGGGGCAGTCAGGCTGGGGCACGTATCTATATATATATATAGGATTACAAGTGTTTATGTTATTTCTTCAACCTTGTGTACATAACGATGTCAGCAAGTTTATACACGGATAGGAAAAGCTAATTGGCCCGATTAATTATAACTATCTAATTGCAGAAAGAATTATTTCCATGACCCATGCTCATCAGAGAGTATATTTCCGTTTCTTTGCGGAGCAAACATTCCTGATTTTCCCTGTCAAATCCTGGAAGATAAATCTTGTTCTAAGATTGATTTAAAAGGCTGTAAGTTGTTGTTGACACTGAACGTATAATTGTGGCTGTCAGTCATCCATCTGTGTATGGTATTGCATAACCGGGCAGTGTTTCAGAATTGTTTATGTACTGATTTCCACTGTGACGGTGAGGTGAAATAGGATTTAATGTCACGTAAAACTTACATTGCGACGTGCATGCACGTGTATATATGTGTGCAACAGCTCTATACCTTGCTCTATCCTGTGTGGGGAACCGAACCCATGTCTTTGGTGTCATGAGCCAGCGCTTAGCCCACAATGCTACCCTACCGTCCCGACTGTGCTGAAGAGCATAGGATACGATGTCTTCACATCACCCCCTGATAACCTGGTGTAGAACAACAAGGAGTCTTTACGCATCCGACTTGTTTGTGTAACAATATTTTTTTGTATCATGCATGCTCCCAGATGCTCATGATGTCAATCACTGGATTACCTGGTTCAGATTCTATTATTTACAGACCGCCGTCATAGGAAGTCCGTGGACAGTATTCGTCACTTCCAATATGGTGTCCGTTTGTTTACAAAACTTTCACACCTTGAAGAATAGAAATTAGACACATTTTTAATGACCCAGCTTAAAATTGGTCAGATGGCCCTTCATACCAATGACTTCAAGAATCCCAGCGCGAATTGTTGAATACTATTGTCGAATATATTCAAAACCAATATGGTTCAAAATGTCATTCATAGCCGTGAAAAGTTCAGAGGGGTTACTGATAGTTTCGGCCCGGGTTTGAGGACCTTAATTGTTAACCAAATATTCTCTTTCATATTGAAATCCGTAGACTGTGCCGACATGAGTCACATTGACGAGGGTGGGCCCACATGAGTCACATTGACGAGGGTGTGCCGACATGAGTCACACTGACGAGGGTGGGCACACGGGATGAAGACTGTAGATTTCATTGTCGGTCCTTCCTCCAAATGAAAACTCGGTTTTTGGAACCTACCACAACCTGGCATTCTTCCGAAGATATAAACTTTCCCCAGTGGCGCTTAACCGTCCATAATTTTCTTACCCGACATTTCATGTATTTTTGTCATTCTTTTATTCCATCTCATTCTTTTAAGTTTTCTCTGGACAGTCTTTTTACACGCTTCGCGGCATTCGTCACCACTCGCCCCTTTCCGTAACCTGCAAGAAGACTCGTCACGCTATCGACGAATGTTATGTGCGAAAATACGACAAACCAGTCAGAATGCGCGTATGACATCAGGTACTTCAGTCAAAGAATCCCACAGGAAAAAAAAATGATTTTACAAATGTCTTGCATCTAAAATCATACCCTAGATACAGTTAAATGTGTTCAGTCATACTGTATAAACACCGTTAGTCCCGATGTGTTAGAATAGCATCTGGAATATATATGACATGGTGATAACATACGTGAATCATTACGCAACTAGTTGGCCATTCTTTTTACTGTGCCGATTTGCGCTTAGACGGAACCCAGTGGCCACCAGAGGGGCAGAGTCGCTATTCGGCTTGCCCCGGTATTACACGAGTTGGTCACGAATGGCTTCGCGGCGCAACAGCGAAGGCGTCTTGCATCACATGTTTTGCTGAGCGCTTTGTAAAGTGACGGATACTTACGTAGCTGTAATATTGCTATGCGGTTAAACAACAAACAAACAAACAAAACGTGGTCCAGGGACACATGCGATGACACAGGTGTCTCGTGGTCAACTACGGAAATCAATAATGTGACAAGGTTTGTTTGTTTGTTTGTTTGTTTTTTGTATTAAACCTCGGATAGCTTTAACGATATTGGTTGCATTGTACATAAAGTTCGAGACAGAAACTCGGGGTTTAGAAGAGAATGTATAGAAAAAAGACATTTCCCAGTTATCATCATATTGCTTCCATGTTGACATCGACTAGTTACGTAATCAGCAACGGTAGAATAATTTTTCATCTTTAGAATTCAGGGTGAGAAAATCAATGGATAGATGCTTAATCGGTCACGTAGGCTCCGGTATTTGTCCGATTACGACACACATGCGTTCATGGCCAGAGCCAACTTTAAACGAATCAAATTGAGATATTACTACATGTAACCTGCCCTCGACCAGACAACCAGTGGTTGACAGCATGAACAACAATCCACATCGTCGGCGGGGTACGATGACACGCAGTCTCCGAGCCCAGTCCCCCGAACCATTACAAGCAGCATAGGTTGATGGGGTCAAATTCTAACGCGGAATCCCTACGGAGGAAATGACACGTACACTGTCTAATTGACAACTGTTGATATTTTATCGATAAATGCATTATATTTTTCCCTATACAGATATTAATGAAATACGTATCATTGGTTTATAGAAGTTCAGACACGACTCTTCTTTACACAACAATCAATGTCGACGTCATATTCAATTGCAAACACCATCGTCTCAAAACGAACACTAATTTCATAATTCTATTAACTTAATGGTATACTTACTTGAATTAGTAACTCCCTGGAATTCCTCTCTGACCCTTATCTCCCTGACCGGAAGTGACGTATTAGGCATGTGGCACTGACACACAACATGACGTGGTCCTGCCATGAACACTATAATGCCCACCAGAGCAGCCAGTATCACCGCCAGCAGTATCAAAGCACAGGCACAGGGGACACTCAGATAGAAGCCTCTTGTCCTCTCCTTTGACGCGTCCCCTGGTCGTCCGTCCATCCTCCGTCACAACTATAGCATACAGTATACTGGGTGACTGTATATTTGCTGTCGATGTTTGTTTTAAGCGGTTCCGGTTTCCTCCCTCGACAAGTACCAGCGATGAAGCGAGCAGCTTCACAGATGGAATAGCAAAGCTTTAGCTGGTTCTCCCATCGCGTTTCTCGTCACCCCATCTCCGCCTCCAGAGAGCACGCGTGACTTGCAGTCAAACTTTACACCACAGTACTCTGCAGCATTAACACATGATACATCTACGGTAAACAAGTTGTTTCGTTTAAACATAATATTATCTATTTTATTACAGATGTGTGGATCGTTGGACCCATCTCCTCAGCCCGCACACTGCGACTATCATTCAGCCATCAATACAAAATATCTCACACACGCACCACTGCATTTACGTCATGCCAAACAGGCCCAGCAGTTACAACTCTGTGGCAATACATTTTATTTTTCTGCCTTCTTCTTTGTGGTTTTGACTGTACATGTATACAGATCTGTGCGGCGAATTCGGATATAGCGCACTGTTGAAATCCTTCAGCTGTCACAGCTCTTGTTTATGAGTTGATGAATACCTCATCGGGGACACAGGTGGCCCAGTCGTCTACGTGTTCGCCATTCTTTATGTGCAGAGTTCCATCCCTTAGGGATGACAGAAAGTAGTAGGTTTGAATCCCGGTTCGCTGATTATATTTTCTGGTTTGTCAGCATCATATTCGTGATCATGTGTTTCGCTAAAGGAGTGAACGTCTGGGACCTGCATCACTTCGGTACGGCGGGTAGTGGGGTGGCATCCTTGACCAGGTATAAGCGGGTAGTGGGGTGGCATCCTTGACCAGGTATAAGCGGGTAGTGGGGTGGCATCCTTGACCAGGTATAAGCGGGTAGTGGAGTGGCATCCTTGGCCAGGTATAAGCGGGTAGTGGGGTGGCATCCTTGACCAGGTATAAGCGGGTAGAGGAGTGGCATCCTTGGCCAGGTATAAGCGGGTAGAGGAGTGGCATCCTTGACCAGGTATAACTTGGTAGTGGAGCGGCATCCTTGACCAGGTATAAGCTGGTAGAGCAGTGGCATCCTTGGCCAGGTATAAGCGGGTAGAGGAGTGGCATCCTTGACCAGGTATAACTTGGTAGTGGAGCGGCATCCTTGACCAGGTATAAGCGGGTAGAGGAGTGGCATCCTTGACCAGGTATAAGCGGGTAGAGGAGTGGCATCCTTGACCAGGTATAAGCGGGTAGAGGAGTGGCATCCTTGGCCAGGTATAAGTGTGTAGAGGAGAGGCATCCTTGGCCAGGTATAAGCGGGTAGAGGAGTGGCATCCTTGACCAGGTATAAGCTGGTAGAGCAGTGGCATCCTTGGCCAGGTATAAGCGGGTAGAGGAGTGGCATCCTTGACAGGTATAAGCTGGTAGAGCAGTGGCATCCTTGACAGGTATAAGCGGGTAGAGCAGTGGCATCCTTGACCAGGTATAAGCGGGTAGAGCAGTGGCATCCTTGACCAGGTATAAGCGGGTAGAGCAGCGGCATCCTTGACCAGGTATAAGCGGGTAGAGGAGTGGCATCCTTGACCAGGTATAAGCGGGTAGAGCAGTGGCATCCTTGACCAGGTATAAGCGGGTAGAGCAGTGGCATCCTTGACCAGGTATAAGCGGGTAGTGGAGTGGCATCCTTGACCAGGTATAAGCGGGTAGTGGGGTGGCATCCTTGGCCAGGTATAAGCGGGTAGAGGAGTGGCATCCTTGGCCAGGTATAAGTGTGTAGAGGAGTGGCATCCTTGACCAGGTATAAGCGGGTAGAGGAGTTGCATCCTTGACCAGGTATAAGCGGGTAGAGGAGCGGCATCCTTGACCAGGTATAAGCGGGTAGAGGAGTGGCATCCTTGACCAGGTATAAGCAGGTAGAGGAGTGGCATCCTTGACCAGGTATAACTTGGTAGTGGAGCGGCATCCTTGACCAGGTATAAGCGGGTAGAGGAGTGGCATCCTTGACCAGGTATAAGCGGGTAGAGGAGCGGCATCCTTGACCAGGTATAAGCGGGTAGAGGAGTGGCATCCTTGACCAGGTATAAGCGGGTAGAGGAGTGGCATCCTTGACCAGGTATAAGCGGGTAGAGGAGTGGCATCCTTGACCAGGTATAAGCGGGTAGAGGAGTGGCATCCTTGACCAGGTATAAACGGGTAGAGGAGCGGCATCCTTGACCAGGTATAAGCAGGTAGAGGAGCGGCATCCTTGGCCAGGTATAAGCGGGTAGCAAGAATGCATAGCTATGTACACAGCTTCCAACAACAGGGTATTGCTGGGTCAAAAGACATATGTGTTAAACATGACGACTTCTTTTTCCCGCACAGCCTGCTGTTGTTCAGACGGACATATAATGTTACATGTGTGCATGCAAAAACAGCTCATCTGCTCTCTCTAGTGCGAGTGGAATTTAAGTGATCTAATCTAAAGTTACACCCAAACCACGCGCTGTACCGTGTAAGTGCCCATGAACCGTTCTATAGTGAGGAAGGTCCGCGTTCATATATAGAGAACCGCAAAAGAAACGTCACCATGGATAGATATATGAGAAAAGTTATTTGTCCAAAAACTGTAAACATACTTTGAGATATATTAAAAAGATGAAACTTGGCAAAGGTTGAAATAAAAGTGTCAAATGTTCGAGTTAAAGTGAAACACAACACTAGACTCCGAGAAAATGGCATCACAAGTCAGTATCTCGTGTGTAGCCATGTGCATTGATGACTGTCGTGCAAGGTCGATACGTGGAATGGATGAGGCGGTTGATGAAGGCCAAAGGCACTTGAGCCCACACTCTGAAGAACGCCTGACGCAGTTCAGCTGCAGTTGTCGGCCTTGGTCTGACGTCATCAGCCGTCGTTCAATCTCGTCCCACAGGTGCTCAATGGGAATTAAACCGGGACTGAGGGCAGGCCACTGCATGGTTCTGATGTCATTCTGCTGGAGGAAGTCTCTTGTTGGTCTCGCAGTGTGAGCACGGGCGTTATCATGCTGAAACTCGTGGTTACGGCGACGTGCCAAATGAGGTATGGCGTATGGTCTCAAGACTTGATCAATGTACCGAGCTGCTGTGACAGCATTGCCTCTCCCTGGACCGATGTTCTGGAAGACCACAGGGCCGACCCTCTGTGCAAGACCAATTCCGTCCCAGACCATGATGCTCGGACCACCCCACGAGTCTCTGTCAACAACACAAGATCCGAATAACGTTCCCCACGATGTCGCCAGACTCTCTCTCTATTGTTGAGATACAGTAACAGCTCTCGTCTGAGAAGAGGACTCTTCTCCACTGCTGGTGGAGCCAATGCTGGTGCTATGTTGCCCACTGAAGACGGTTCCGGCGATGACGTGGTGTTAGAATGGGACCTCGGTGTTGCCTGTGACAGTGGAAGTGTCTGCTCGTCAGTCGTCGACGCACGGAGTCCACACGAGTGTGTCGCTGGTGCGTCCCCATGGTCTGTCGAGCAATTTCCGCAGCAGTAAAAATGCGTTCTTGAAAATGCTGTTACACAATCTGACGATCCTGACGTCGGGTCTTGGTCTTCCAATACGTGGTCGGTCATCTGTAGTGTTGGTGGTCTGGTACCGTTGCTGGAGCCTGTATATGGTCCTTACGTGGACTTGAAATGCATTGGCTACTTGCCGGGCGGTTTGTCCAGTTTGCAATCGTCCAAGGGCTTGGTGTTGCTGATTTCTTGTCAATCTTGGCATGTGGTAGCAATTATAACGAATGAATGCTATCCGATTTGGGTGGATGTTTATAGGGCAAAAAAATGGGGGAACGCATGTGCATTTCAGTTTGCACGGACCTCACGTGCATCGTGTTACCATGGCCGTTGCCATGCGTTCGGGCGACCGGTTTTATTGTCATCTGCTTTGTTTTTTATCATCAAATTTCATTTTCTGGACAAGGTAATGTTAAATTTTAGAATTTGTGACAAAAATTACCCAGATATTTAAATGACAACTTTTCATGCAGTGTTACTTGGGGTGACGTTTCTTTTGCGGTTCAGTATAGTTTGGCCCTCTATGAAGGCTCATACTCCAATGAACTCACACGAAGTGAAAGTCAATTCTTAAACGCCTTCCAACTAGGTCGATCTCTACATGTAATTCAGTGTCTCTCATAGAACCCCTTCAGTGTTGCCTTCAGTGGTCCAATCTTAAACTTACCCAGTATGCAGTACCCTTTTCCTCTTTAAACACCTCACGTAAGTAGGAACATAGAGAATACTCCACACATTCTCGTTAGATACCAAATTTACGAAACTCACACTCGCTCGGTCAGATACAATGCAGGGTTCACGAGTTTCGTAAAAATTGAATCTAACGTAAATAAGTGTGGTATTTTATTTATAACCCAATTCAAATATGTATTTATGTGTAAATATATAACAACTTTCTGTCGTTAACAGGCCAAACTGAAACCGCTTGTAAATCTGGTTGTGCATAAATATTAATATATGCCCAAATATGGGCATTGTTGACATTTCTATGCATACACGTTCCTGCTGTTGTGTGTGCAAACATGCCGGCACCAACGCTCAAGATCCTTTAAAACGAATATCTTCAACGAATGTCATTCCAGGGCATTGTTGTTAGTACGCTGTACAACTGTTAGAACACATAAAAAAGAAAATGAATTTGAATTTCGGACCAACACTAAGTCCATCGCAACGACGGGGTCTCGGTTGACAATCAAAATGGTTTGGTTTCCTGGATCTATCAGCTGAATTTTATATTTTGTCCGTATCATTTTGAAAGAGGGAAATTATAGAGGGAAGAGGGATAGAGCGTGCACGCCAAAAACGTTTATGATAACTGAACTCAAGTCTGCTAACGTGTCACTGGCAGCTTCGAAGGGCAAGGTCACCATCTGTATAAGAAAAGACACCTATGATCTACTCACAGCGTTTTACGCTGGAGATCAATAGGGAATGTTATTGTGCACATTTGGGATGTTTTGGGGCCACAAAACAGAAGTCAGGCACACTTCCACGGGGTTTTCGAACGATTTGTATCGGAACTGTTCACCTTGAGTGATCTGGTCGTGCAGCCGTGTATCCAGTGTTCAATCAACAGGAACATGCAACTTATAATAATAACAAACAAACTCGCAGACGGGGCCGAAGGCGGGTGAGTTAAGAATTTTCTGTTGCACTCCTTCATAGCTTTCGGCCCCGTCTGGGAGTATGTTTGTTATATTAAAAACCTTCGGAAGCAATGTCACAAACTACGCTTCGAATGGGCACAAATAGTTGTCCAAATAGTGTTGTGATGCTTCATCTTTCTCACCCCCTATGTATAGGCAGCTATATGCA